GCACTTGCTTTGGAGTGAGGATCCTGATTTTGCCACTTTCTTGAGCCAGTTACTTAACCTGAGTCTCACCTTGCTCAGCTGTCAGAAACAAACATGTAAAGAGATTTGAAAAATGAGCTTGTTTCACCTACTCATGCTCAGACATGTACTCAAACCACTCCTTTCACTGGCCCAGCAGCCCTCCCATCTCCGGTCCTTCAAAGTTCCATCCAATCCCATCTTCCACATACCCCTCCCACACTCTGCTCAGCCCCAGAGTTAACCACTCTTGCCTGCCTCCGTTTGCACTCGGTACTGTCACCGTGCTGTATTCCAGCCTACCTTGTTCATGAATTCTCTTTGATATTTTCCCCAAAACCCATTACTGTCCTTCATCTCAAAAAAGCCACTCACTCACTCAGCCCAAAAACCGAGGATCCTTCTTGTATGGACTCTCCCACTTCCATTTGCTCTAATTCAAAAACAGACCCACATCTGCTATTTTCTCCCTGTTTGCACTACCACCCTAGTCCAAGACACCATCATCTGTAGCCTGGATCATGACAATAGCCTCCTGATCAGTGTTCCCACTTTCACTCCTTCTCCCACACTCTTCTTCATAAGGCAGCCGGAGTGATCACCTGAAATGTAATGCAGATAATGTTATTCCTGGGCTTAAATTCCTCCAGAGTCTTCCCGTAACTCTTACAGTAATAACTAAACTCATCCTTGTGCCCTTCCCCTGCCTGCATCTCCAGCCTCACTTTCTGCCACTGATGTCCTGAGTTCACTCCAGTCATGCTGGCCTGGTCCCCATTCCCAGAACATACTAAGCTCATTCCAACTTCCAGGTTTGGGGAATAGCTCTTTCCTCAGCCTGAAATGTTCTTCTCTTGGCCCTTCACTGGACGCCTCCTGGCCTTCCAGGTCTCAGTTCAAGTATCACCTGCTTGGGGGCCATTCCTTGATACCAAATCTAAAGTAGCACTGCCCTCCTCCACTTTCTAGTCATCTAGCATATCACTGTGTCTCATTTTTTCATAATACCTGTCGTTACTTGAATTGTCCTCTTTGAAGTTTACATGTTCACTCCTCTAATTCCCAGTGCCCAGCATGACTTCAATTAATATTAGTAGTCATTATTATTATCACATGTTAAATGCTTACAGACATTGTGCTGAGTACAATGTGTTGTTTCATTTTCACAACAATCCTTTGAGATATATACTATTATGCATTTATAATAAGGAGCTAAGAGAGGCTCAGTGACTTCCCTACTATCAAAAGGATAAATGGAGAAATCAGGATTTGAAGCCAGGTCCACAATCTTTTAACTACTCAGTACTTAGTAAGTCTTATTTATCTTTGTAACAACTCCCCACCACCCCACTCCCATGCCCAAAAATGGTAGAATGGAATTGCAAAATTCCAGAAAGGAAGATGTCCTGAAGTCTGGGCTGAAGGTCAAGGGATATTTGCTGGGAGAGAGAACAGTGACAGTGACTGCAAACAGGGATAATGTGACACACACTCATTTTATTCCACAAACACATTAGCCTGTTGAGTTCCCACCACTTGCCAGCCTCTGTTCTAGTCCTGAGGATTAACTCCTATGAGAAGTTCATGTCCCCAGATGCCTCTGCCCAACAAAGGGTCTTAGGAGGATGTTCTGTTGAATGTACTATTTGGGGGCAAGGGTATCCAAGTCATTTCTCAGGCAGGGACCGGCCAAAGCCATCATCCAAGGCTGTGCCTCCAAGGACCTGTGGGAAGCCCAGGTGTGTTTATTTTGGAGAAGACTGGATAAAAGGAAGATCAACATCTTCCAAAGACTGAAAAACAATCAACTCATTTCCAAAACCTCAACTACCTGAGGCAGACAGAGGAGGGTGGGAAAGTTCCTGTTATTGTTTCAACTTTAGCCAAACCAGAAAACTTGGATTCCAGCCCTTTTTAGAGCAGCAAAGCACTTTCCTGAGTTCATGAAAGCCCTGTGGTTGACCCCCTAGAGGTGAAGCAGAGCTTGGTAATGAAAGACCCATTCCCTGGAAAACATCGCCTCCCTGGAGATTCATCATTCCTCCCAGGCATCCTGGCTCAGCACCAAGCCCCAGTATTACTTACTGAGAAGGAATACTGACACCCACCTAATTATTATGGAATTAATTCTCTTTGATTCTAACTAGATCCAGTTCTGAAGTTTAAATTCCAGTTAGATGCTGTGGGATAGGCGTTGATTTGCAGCTTCCCACAGAAACAACAGAAAAATGAGAACAACAGACATGGCAATTTGGCCATACTCCCCGGCCATTATGGGATCATACAGAGAGCACACTGGTATGTTCTATTCCCATGAATTATTTGGGACATCGAAAAGTATAGTCTTACAAGGAGTTAACAAACCGCATGTGAGGAAAGAGTCTAGATTCCATTGAATTCTGGTGACAGGGAAAACTATTATGACAAAATGGAATATCTAAATTCCAGAAGGCATCAGATTTGGGATTTTTCTCTGCAGAATAAATATGCAGGAGCCATTCTTCACACTGCCAGCAGTGAACTCCCCATTAGGCAAACCTGACCTGACACACCCTTGCATAAAACCTTTGCTTCCCACTGTCTCCCCGGCTCACACTCTGCATTCCAACCACACTGCACTGTCTCCGGTCGCTGCACCGCACTTAATCATCTCTGGACCTTGGCACGTGCTGTCCCCTCTGCCTCCATCTATCTCTGTCTAGACAAGGTTAGGTCCCTCAGCCCTGCACTCCCCTGGCACCTGCTCCTGCCCCATCATCCCACTTTACTGTAATTGCTTGTTTAACTCTCTGCTTTCCTCACAGACACCATGGGGGCAGGGACCGTATCTGTCTAGTTTGCCTCTGACTCCCCAGAGCCCAGTATGGTTCCTGGCACAAAGTAGAAAGAGGATATGGACTCAAGTTAGACTTTGCCAATCTGAATGATCTGTATGTTGCCTTAAAAGCCTGGGATACACTAAGGAACGAAGACAGAAGAATAACTGGGTGGGGATGTGAGAAAACTGCCTAAAAGGAGTGGAAGCCTCCACCCCCTCCTTCCTTTCTCTTCAGCTTACCCAGATCCAAAACTTATGAGCAAAATCCGTGGATTTTTTTGCTGACCACGTTAACAGTAGGGACTATAAAATTCAGCTTTCCATCTGGTTCTTCATGGTCCAAGAAAATACAGCAATTTCAAACTCCAGGGAGACAAGCACTCAAATCATGAACGCTTAGACCTAGCCTGCTGTAGAATCCCCTCTGAGTGGCATGAATTTGCTCAGGAAGAAAAATGAAGAAAGCATCATTTACCCTGTAAGGATCGATTCCCTGGGGGTCCTCAAAGGGGATGAGTTTGATGTTTCCTCATAGCAATTTCCCCCTCTGGCCTTCAAAGCCAACCTGCTCGATCTGACAGCTGGTCCTTGCTTCCCTTTCTGCTCAGGCCAAGATGCTCCTTATCCTGAGGCCCATCACAAGTGAGCACTTCGCAGACAGGGCTGCAGGCTGGCCTTCCGAGGGGAGCGCTTTAACATCTGTCCTCCTCATCCCAAACTGGCTGCTACTTCAATGCAAAGATGATGCATTTCCTCTTTAATGTTTCATGTTAGAACCAAGGTTAACTGAGAATTGCTGGTGAGGGATGAAACAAAAATCAACTCCTCCCCTATCGAAAAGCCTCGTGTGGGACAACTTGGGCATGCGCGGGAGTCCGCCTGATTCCATTGCCCTGGCCCCCTGCACACCTCTGCCCCTGGAAGAAAAAAACAACAAAATTTCCAAAAGGCTGTCAGTAAGCTGATTTCCTGGTGTTTGGGGCCCATCCAGAGAAGGGAGTTTTCAGAGCTGTGCTGGAACAGCCGGGCCTCGAGAGATTTGACAGCCAGTTTGAAGGCTTCAGGCAGTTTGGATAAGCATCTAGACTCTGGGTATTTTTCTGAGTCTGCTCTGTGATCCCTTTGAAGTTTATCCAACTTGATTAAACCTTCCAGAAATCTGAGGTCGGTAGAAAGCTTTCTTTAGAAGTCCCTCTGGATGTGCCCTGTTGCTTTCTCATGGGGCAGTCAGCCCATCAGGACAAGAGAGGTGAAAAATAGAGAAGTCAGCGTGAGAATATTATATTTCTATAACACTCATCTCGCTGTCTTTTTTTTCTTCCCATTCTTTTTACATATGGAGGAGGAGACCGCAGATAGGTCACGAAATTCCCAGTGGACTTTGAGGACCATGAATTTAGATGTGATTGTGACTTGCCATGATCCCTTGACACTGATACAACCTGTTTTTGAAGGCCTCGGCTGAGATATGCAGAAGCACCGCACGTTAGGTTAACAAAGAACAACAAAAGATGCCATTTGCAGTCCAGGAGAGCTGGTGACAGGGCCATGCACCAGTTTCATCTCATTTCCCAGAGAAGCAGCCCCTGGCGGCCCAGGCTGGGGGCTGGAGCCTCTCTCTCCTCCTGTTTGCTCAGCCTATCTAATCACAGAATTAATGGAGTAGCAAGAAGAGACTGCGTGCCTCAAGGTGCTGCCAAGCCGACGCACACACCTCAGCACCTGGTGCCATTTTCCAAGGTGCGACCTGGATTGGCTTTGGATCACACTCAAGAAGTAAAGAAGGTGGGCAGAAGGGGTGGGGTACCAAATACTGGTTTCTTTAGGGAAGCAAATAGGGAGGGGCCTCTACAAACTGGAGGTGGGGCCTTCAAACCTGCTTGTGACCCTGTGGGGAGAGGCTGAGTGATGCCCACTCTCTGATTTTGAAAAGTGTGCTATGAAGGGCAGGACACAAGGTCTAGAGGCCCAAAGATGACTCAGAAGCATCCAGAGAGGAGACCTGAGCAGGAGGCTCCCAGTACAGCAGCATCCCACAGCTCCACTGGTTGACCACAGAAAAGGAGGAAAATGCCCTTTTTAACCCTGGGACCAAATGACAAGAGGAGGATGACGGGAGCTGTAGTTGTAGCACCAGAGAAACCGCACTGAAGTGGGACTGTAGATCGTTTTGTTTGTTTCTTTATTGATAAAAAAAATATTAATAGGCATTACGAAAAACAAAACATTCACAACCCATCACAGAATCCTGTAAGAGTTCATCTATTCCCAATGGCGTCCTTCATCTAAGAGAGGTGATTTCAGCCAAAAGGCCCCTTCATGGTTTTCATGGGGGGGTACTGCTGCTCCAGTGGCATGGCCCCGAAACAGTCAGATGGGCTGCAGTGCCCAGCCTTCCCCGGCTGGCCCATGGGACCCGGGGGGCCGGGGATACCAGGAATTCCTTGCTGGCCCATTGGTCCAGTGGCACCCATCTTGCCATAGCCCGGAGGACCTTGAGGACCTGGGGAGGGGGAGTCGGAGATGGAAAACCAGAAGACCCAGCTCACAAGAAAAGAAGAAATAATGGTCACGGTAAATAATACCTTATACTTGGTAAATATTTCTCAGGTTACAGTGTATTTTCAGGAAGACCTGACCTGATCCTTACATTAACTTAATAATAACAATATTACTGACTAGTTTTATTGGGAGCTTCCATGTGCCAGGCACCAGGCAAGTGCTTTTTATGCATTATGCAATGAATTTTCACAATTTTGTGAGAAAGGAACTGTCATGTCATTGCATAGATGAGGATGCAGGTGCAGAGAAGCCACACTCATGGTAAGTGGTGACGCTGGCCTCAGAGCCAGGCCCGGGGCTTTGGTCATTTCTCTCTTAGGCGATACAGCCTGGCTTGAGTGACTTCACCAAGGTTATACAGCCAGCAAGATGCCAAGCAGGACTTGAACTTGCACTCCCTGGCCCACTCTGTCCTACTGTCTTCTACTGTGTCATCGAGCCCTGTTTAGGACTTGAGGGCAGGCGTTGGGTCTCCCATTCCCCAGCACCATGCCCTAGTAGACTGTCTTACCCACAGTGACATTACTATATATGTTGGTTGATAGGCTGGCTGTTATTTGAGGTTCTATACAACTATGTTATAAAAGGAACATAAAGAAAGGAGATCTCAGCTGCTCTAGATTCACAGTCTCAAAAGCTGGCTTTTCTTACCTGGGGGACCAGGGAGACCGCTTTCTCCTGCAATGCCAATACCAATGTCTCCTTTTTCACCTTTGGTACCAGGCAATCCTGGGACAAAAGAAATAAAATAAGTCCTATTCCTAGGCAGAAAAATGACACCCCTGGTCAGATAATTTGAAACACACACGTACACACAAATATTATATTCACAACAGACCTCATGTAATGTTCACGTTTGCCCCAAAGAGCTACGTGTGTACCTCAGGAACCAGAGGGCAGAGCTACCTCTCATTCCTGGTAAGCCTTGCCGTCCTTCTCTGCCAATCTGACCAGGGAGCCCAGGTGATCCTGGAGCGCCTGGCCGGCCCGGAGCACCATCCTTCCCTGGGGGCCCTGGTCGGCCAGGAGTCGCTGCCACTTCCATGGGGAACTGCATCCTGGAGGTGTAGTAACCCATCCTCTCTGTAAGAAAGGACAGGGACAGCTCACAGGGCACCCCAGCACCTCAGAATGACTTCAGATGTTGCAGACAAGCCAGCAGCATGGAGTCTAAAATAGCCTTTCTTCAGAGGGACATCAGAGCAAGGAACTGTGGGGAGTGATCTCCTACATGGTCTCCTGCGCCCTCGCCTCCACATTGCCTTCCACAGTGATCTTTTTGGAGCGCAGATCTGATTCGGTATCTCCCTCCTCCACCACCCTTCATTACTGGCTCATCACTGGCTTCAGAATAAAGTCCAGATTCCTTGCTTAGCATTCAAGGTCTGCTTCCCAAGCAAGATGCCTAGCCCCTCCAGGACCGGGTCCATGTGTTCCCCAGTCCTTAGCTTATCAATCCTGAATGAGAAAATGAATAGGAAAAAAGCTTAAAATGAAATCACATCAGCCATCTTACAGTTGCTGCTCACCCCTCTATTTAGAGCTCACTTCATGCAGACTCGTTTGATATCAATTTTCTTGTCTGCCTCCTTTGCTCCAGTGGGGCCTCGGGGAGGGCAAGAGGGAACCATTTTATCTCTGAGCAGAGCAGGTGACAAGGAAGGTCTGAAGTCTAATTGAACATATGCCTGAAAGGGGCGGGGGTGCATGGGGGGAAGATATTGAGCCTAAGGGAAAGGAGGCGGGGCAGGGAGGGGAAGGAGCTGGAAAGTGAGCAGCACCCACTGCTACCCAGCCAGCTGCCAATTACCATCAAACATTTTAATGATCTCTTGTCTGATGAACCTCTTGATTTCATCATAATTCACCATGTCTCCCTGAGGAAAAAAAAAGAAAACCTGCCTCAATTATACCCTCAAGCCTGGTGCTCTCCCCCTGGGAATAGACTTTATGGAAATAAAGGATGGGGAAGGGGCCAAAGGTCCTAGAAGCCTCCCACAGATACTTAATCCAAGGTCCTAACCCTCCTGAAATGGTACAAAACATTTTGTTCATCAGTGCATTTTTCTGGGGAGGGGGCACCCCAACACCCTCCCCACTCTCCCACACACAGTTAAGAACTATCCATACAGGAGTCATGTTCTTTTTTCATACAGTGTCAGCAGGAGCTTCTAAAATGGTACATGTTCCACCCTGCATGCATGCTCTGGGGGCCGGTGCCCATGGCTGCCAGCCTTCCTCCTTACCATGGAGCCAGGCACCCCAGGCAATCCGGGGCTCCCTGAAGGTCCTGGAGATCCAGGGTGGCCTCTCTCCCCTGCAGGACCTGGTGGCCCAACAGGTCCCATGGAGCCACTCTTGCCAGGCCCGCCAGGCATGCCAGCTCTTCCCTTCTCTCCTGCATGGCCCTTCTGTCCTGAAGGTCCAGGATCACCCTGCAAGGACAGGAAGCCACAGTCCAGCACTTCCAGGTACTGTCAAGTCTCCCTCATGATGTCTCAAAGATCTGCCCTCACTCCATCCCTGCACCAGTCCCCCAGCATCGCCCTCTGGGCTGTGCATCCCAACAGGTTGCCCTGCCTCACTGCCCCCAGAGCGGTCTCTCTAAAAGATAGATTCATGGTGTTAGTCTCTGCTTAGGAATTCTGATGGCTTCCAGTTGCCCTCAGGATAAAAACCGAATTCCTTGGCCAGGTGTTCCAGACCACGCACATGGTCCCGATCACATCTTCTCCAGCCACACCTCCCTGGCTCTCATTCTCTGCTGCTCCGCTAACTGTCCTTGTTCTTTGCACAGCCTCCCTGACTCCCGAGGCTGAGCTGGGTGCTCCCTCCCTCTGATCCCACAGTCTGTGTCTAACCTTCTGTAAAACCTGCCATGCTCTAATGTAAGTGTGACTGGACTAAATGAGCTTCTATTGTTCAGGGTCCTCTATTTCCTCAAGGCTGGGACAGAGGGCCTGGAATGTAAGCAAGATCAAGCAGATGCTTGCAAAATACGTGCGTGAATGAAATCAATCAACCAGTGAATGAATGAACACGGTACTTCCATTTTCCCAGCCCCAGCCAAGAACACTGCAACAGCCCACATGAGAAATTTGCAGAGATGAGGCTGCTCCAAGTTCTGCCCACTTCTTATTCCCCACCTGCTGGCCTTGCTGTGTCTCCTCTCCAAAGCTAAAGTTATAGATTGGAGTTGGACGTGATCAACTTGTGAGCTTCTCCTCCTAAACCCAGCCAGTGCCCACTCACCTTCGGACCAGGCAGTCCATAGAGTCCCTGTTTTCCAGGGGGTCCCTAGAGGAGAGCCAAAGCCAGGAGTCAAGTCTGGGCAGCATCTCTGAGCCATCCTGGGGAAGCAGGGGCCGTGACGGGAACACCTTCCACAGCCCTAGGTCCCCGGGCTGTGTCCACCTGGGCTCTGTGTGAGAGCGGACGACAGCCTCCCTCCCTCTGTTGGCTGGCAGCTGGATGGGAGAATGATGTCCCCTAGGACCTGGCCTTGTATGGTCATGTTGGGTGGGTCCCTTGTCATAGACAAAAAGGGGTGAGAAGTCAGAATGCAAGGGTCACTCTATGGCATACTGGGGGCTCTGGCAGGAGCTGGTGTCCAGGAAATGTTTGTTTGGAATTATTATTGGCTCTTTTTGACCAGGTACATGGAAAAAAAAAAATGGAAAACGCAAGTCTCACTCTCACCCTCTCCCTTCGTCCCCAGTTCCTCTCTCCAAAGCAACAAGGGCCACCAGTTTCCTGCATGTCTGCCCAGAGATAGTCTGTGCATATGGGGGGGTCGTTTACTGAATGAACAAAGGAGCTGGGGCAAGGTGAGGAGCACGGAGAAGCACTCCTGAGGGGAGAGGAGAAGCCCGCACAACAATACCTCTTTGCCAGCTGCACCATCCGCACCAGGCTCGCCCTAGGGAGTTGAGAGCAATGGAGTCGTAAGGGGCACCTGCCCAGCTTGGGTCACGTGCCTCACCTTGCCCACCAGGCATGCTCAGTCCCCTTCCACAGCCCCCCAGCCCTCACCCTCAGACACTCTAGGCACAGGCTGTGGGAACTTAGACCCCACCCCCAACACAGCCTGGTCCCAGAGCCCCACGCTGACAGCTCCTGGACTGAGTTCTCTGGGGAAACAGCAGTCTGTGTCTGCCTTGCTCTTGGCTTGAGATCCGGGCATCTCCCACACACCCTGGCTCTGGGTATATGTTAAGCGTTTGCTGAGTGAAGGCGTGAACTGTGAATCTCCATTCTTGGTAAGGTCCCTGGGATCCGCTAGGACAGCCTGAGCCTGCTCCCTCCCCAGAGCAGGGGAGGCTGCTTCCTGGGCCCAGCCTGCTTCTGGGGGGATGCTGGGGAAGAGGAAACTGTGATCAAGAGGCAACTGGCAGATCCACGCAGGGAACTTGGAGGCTCCAGAGCCCCTAAGGTGGGGAGGGCTGGAGGGCTGGGGGAACCTGCCTGCCCAGGGTGCACAGCAGGAATCTGAGTGAGTGGGAGGGGAGACCCAGCCCTCTGGGCAGATGGGCCGACCCGCCACTCCTCTCCAGCTGGAGTCATCCCCCTCATTCCAGGCCACCAGCCTTCTGGTCATCACACTGGTCCTGGCAGAAAGTCTGCTTTGACGGAAAGCACCCTGAGCTGGGGGCTGGGAGATGGGTTCCTGCTTCAGCCACCCCACGAAGCTTTCCATCCCTGAGACTGGCAATCTGTTCCACCTGATGTGATTCATTTGGCTGGAAGCCTCGAAAGGGGGAGTGCTGCAGAGCAGCTAAGGACACAAGAATCAGGCAGGCTCTTCTGGTCACTAGCTGTGTGACTCTGGGCAACCTACTTAACCTTGCTGAGGTTTGGTTTCCTCATCTATAAAATGGGGACAATCAGACCTACTAGACAGGGTTGTAGTACAGATTAAATGACAAAATGTCAAGCTCTTAGGTCAGCGCTCAGCACACTGTCAGCGGCCAGTACCTCACAGCTCTTAGCACTGAACCCTAGCTGAGGCCAGGGAGTGGCCTCTGAGTTGCCAAGAGAGCTAGAGTAATAGCACTGGGTTTCTGGCTCCTGACATTTACAGGTGTTCTGTAGTTACCAACCCCGGGTGGGGGCTGGGGCAGCACACGGGCCAGGTCTCCCCTGTCCGACACCTAATAGGGATCTGCTCTAGTGGCATATGGTCAGAGGTGGTGGCTGGCGTGTGGCCAGCATGGCACTGGCAGGCACAGCTTCTCCTTTCCTCCAGATATGATGTGATCCTTAGGCACAAGCTCCCCACCGCCATCTTCCATGCTAATAGCCTCTCCTTCCCAAGAGACCCCAGTGTGCTATGCTGCACTCCACTGACAAAGCCAACCAGCCCTTTCCCCCAGGGCTGTGCAGTGAGACACGGGATCTTACCGGGGGGCCAGGGTGTCCAGGTGAACCAGGCTGGCCTGGAAGGCCTGAAAGGCCCCTTTCTCCAGTAGCTCCTCGGTCTCCTTTCAGGCCCTAGAGAAAAGGAAGGGGGATGGTGAGGGGGAGGGGGGAGGGAAGAGTGAGCCCACATGCCCAGAGGCAGAGACCCACGTGTGCCAGGGATCATGGCCACTGCCGCCCAGGCCCACGGTGAGAGGTGGCACTGCATGAATGAGGAGTAGGGCTCTGGGCTGGTTTCCAGCCCTCTCCGAGGGCCGTCACCACATGCTAGTTAGGGGAGGCAGAAGAGGCAGATGCCAGGGAAGGAGGGGGATGGGGACAAACTGTTCTCATCCCCTGTCCCCCCACCCCTCTCCCTCTTAGAGAAGCCCACAGCAGAGCAGGGCCTGGGAGGCAGGGAAAGAGGAGCACGTCACTCACCACTGCAGAGATCCCTGCTGGGCCCGGCTGACCTGGAGGCCCTGGTGGCCCCTAAAGAGAGACGAAATCAGTGGGTTGGAAAGAGGCTCCAATAATAAGGCCTGGAGAGGCAGCAAGGGGCCCACAGCAGGAACAAGCCCTGAACTTCAGCAGCTCTGTTCTCTTCCCTAAACCCTCCTTCCCTTCGGGCCTTGCACTTGAGCTTCTGCCAGAAGAGGTGTGCCAGAGCTCACAGGACGCTCATACCTGCACCCGCACACTGAACAGTGCACCTGGGCCAAGACCGTGATCTGGGAGCCAAGTGCAGAGGGCAAAGGCCTGAGGGGGTTGACCCTGGGGCCTGGTGCTTCTGAGGCCTCCACCTCCTTCTGTGCTGTGGGAGGGGCAAAGGCCAAGAGCTGGGTCTGTGCATCAGGGGGTCAGCACCAGCCCCTGGGACCACAACTAAGCTCCACAGCCACAGCCTTAAGAGCTTGCAGGCCTCCTGGGCCTCCTGCTGCACCCCTTCCCCTGGAGGCCCAGGAGACCCTGCCTGGGCCCGGGCTCTGTCGGAATGCCCTCCCTATCTCTCCACCGTCTGAGGCACAGCTACATGCCAGCTCCCTGGTAAGAGCTGCCCCTCTGAAGGCCAGGGCACACAAGCCTCTCTCAGAGCATTTCCCTCCACACTCCCAGATGGAAAGGTCCGGAGGCACGGACTCTGCTCTACTCATCTCAAGTCTCCTGGGGCAGGAATGTCCAGCACTGGGACTGGCGCACCGCAGGGGACTGGGCTGAATGGACAGAGGAGAGAGGAAGAACGTGCATCCCCTGGTCCCCAGCAAGCCCCCAGTCAGTGTCCAGTGGGGACATAATTCAGAGTGTGTTGATTCCCTTCATGTGTAGTGTGAGGGGTGCTAGGCTGACCTAGGGTCCCCAGTCAAAGGCCCCTGGACACCTTGAGATCCAGCATAGTGATGAGGATCTGAGAGTTCCTTTTTTTGGTCATAAACTATTTTTAACATTTCCAAAAGCCTCCTGGAAATTGTACATCCAGGTACAATAGGGCTGCAATGAAACTCTAGTGTTTCTCTCTGGAACCTCATCAGCTCGGCACTGTCACGCTGATCAGAGGCACTCATCAGCAGTCATCTTTCACTGATGAGTAAAGTAGATGGGAAATTCATTATTGCTTAATAAATATCCTCTCCAACTTGCCCCTGGTCCCAGGAAATTCACCATGCATTTACCCAGCTGCCCCAGCCAAATGAGAGTCATCCTCAGCTCTGCTCTTCCCACTGATCTCTGCCCTCTGCCCTGTCCAGGTCATTAGCAAGGCCTCTACCTCCCAACACATGGCCCACCTGTCTGCTGCCACACCACTCCACATCCATCCTTCCATTGCTGAGAAAGCCTCCCATTTGCACCCCCTCCTCACCATACCCCTGTGTGCTCAATCTTCTGCATCCCATTCCCACTCACACCCTTCCTGAACTCCACTCCAGCCAGGCAAACTCTGGGGCTCCCAGACACACCAAGCCTCTCCCTACCTCAGGCTCTTTGCATCAGCTACCCGCCACCCCCACCTACCACCACCACCTGGACATTCTTCCCCCAGACTGCTCGACAGCTGGCTCCTTCTTGTCACTGAGGCCTCATCTCAAATGCCACTTCTCTAAAGGTTCCTCTGAAGTAGCCTTCCAGCCCCTCCCTGTGACATCACATGACTGCCTGATGCTTCCGCATTCATGTGCTCATTTGTCGTGCCAGCATGGAAGCTCTGGGGCCAGGGGACCTTATTTATCTCACTGCCATAACCCAGTGCTTGGAACAGTGCCTGGCATGGAGCAGGTGCTCAATAATTATTTGTTGAATAACTGAAGGATCTTTAACAAGTAAACTGGAACATGCCCAGCACATAAGAACACGGCTAGCAGCCTGGGCACCACTGGATTGGGTGAACCCAAAGACGCCTATTGCTCTCCCATGCTGGGGCTGCTCCTGCAGCCACTTCTATCAGGTCACCACCCAGCCCAGTGGAACCCTAACTCACAGAGGCAGAGACGGAAACAGGTTAACTCACAAGATGGCCGGGAGGACCAGGTCTTCCCTGGGGTCCCATGGCTCCAGGCTCACCCTGCAGGATCCAGAGAAAGGAAGAAATGACACAGAAACAGGCTTGCACACGTGGGCTGTTGGGTGGGAAAGGGCAGAGCAGAGCAGGCAGAATACCAGCCGTCGGCGGGCCAAGCTGAGCCCTGGCCTCCATGCCTAAGCCTTCCAGGGCCTGAGGGACCAGCCCTGCTGGTGACCATTACTGGAGAGAGAACGCAGAGCCCCCAGGCCAAGAAGACCAGGCCCTGCCCTTTTAGGTTAGTGACCCAACAGCCTGTAGGGAGGGAAACAACTCTTGAGAGGCAGCAGAAGGTCAAGATGTGTGGTGTTGGGCACAACCTCCCCCAACAGGCCAAGGAGAGACGGCAGCCACTGGGCCAGAGAGCAGCGGGGAGTGCCTGTGTCCCAGACTCGGCAGAGCCCAGAGGCGGTCCAGAGGCAGCGTGCCGAGTCCCCAGTCCCTACCTCTGCTCCGGGCCGGCCACTGCTGCCTGGGGGACCTGGTTTTCCACAGTCACCCTGGAAGAGAGAGGGGCAACTGGAGCTCACCAGACCTCCCCTTGGCTCCCCGAATCCTAAGGCAACCTTACGTCAGTGGGGTCCTGCCACCAGCCCTGGCTCTGACTAGTGGCCCTCTGATGCCCTCAGGATGGTAGATGGCGAAGCCCCGACCCAGTCTGCTGGGCACCATTGGCCTCAGAAGGCTTGGATGCTGGGATGGCATTTAGCTAGGGGTCAGGTGGCACATCCACTCTGGTTAGGCTGCCACATCTGCCTGGGGTCAGGCCCTGAAGAGAGCCAAGAAAACCTGCCTAGAAGAAATCACCAGACCTTTACCTTGGGTCCCGGAAGGCCAGGATGTCCTGTTTTTCCCTTGAAGCCCTGGAAGAAAAAGCAGGGAGCTGCCACATCCCTTACCTCAGGCAGAGGCCACGTCCCATTCCTTCCTCAGGTTAAATAAATCAAACCCACTCAGAGTCCAAACAGGGCCCACAGAAGATCTGGGTTTGAGTCACCCCACCCATCAAGACAGAGCCTGCACCTCTCAGCTTTGGGACGGCCCAGCACCCAGTTCATTCCTACAACTCAACTTACCGGGGGTCCCATGAGTCCAGGGGGGCCAGGGGACCCAGGATCCCCCTAGGGAAAGAGATGGAGGCATTGAGGCAGAAGCTTTGTCCAGCTTATACCCACTCCTTCCCCACTGTCTTCCCCTTTTTTCAGCCCCTTCCCCAGCAATCCCAGGACAGAAGGACAATCGTGGACAGACAGGGCAGAGGGAAGACTCCAAACAGGGCTCAGCCTTGAGTGAACCCCAGCCCCTCTCTGAACCTCAGTTTTTCTTCTTTTGGCCACAGAAGGGGACTGCCCTTGATGCCCTGCCCTTTGCATGGCCCCATCCTTCTCAGATTCCCCAGCAAAGCCAGATCCAAGGAGCCAGGGCCACTCAAGCCCTTCCACGGCCAGAGCCTGTTCTTTCTGACACCCAGTCCAGTTTCTTTAGCGGCCTGAATTTCTGGATATAAATTTATGATCTTCCCTGCCTGTCTTTGGTGAGACCCAGGGCATCCCACCCAGTTAGGCTACCAGGAGAACCAAGAGACCCAGGGGATCTGGTGCCATTGGAGAAATGGGGTGTGAGAGGCAGACTGGGGGAAGACAGGGGTACCCCTGATGGAGATGGGGAGGTTCAGCTCCCTTCATCAGGATTCCCTGACTTTGGCTCTTGGGGAAGGAAGGAGAAGGAAGGGGGTTCCCTCCTCCCCCACCAGCCCATTGTCTCACCCTTAAGCCAGGCTTGCCATCCTTCCCATCCAGACCATCCAGGCCGGCAGGGCCCTGGGAACAGGAAAAAGGCATTTCTGCATGCCTGTGCCAGAGCCTGAGGAGGTGGGAGACCACCCCAGCTCCTCCACCCTCCCCACCCCTTACCCACGTCCCACCCCAACCAAATATACACGTCCACACATGTAACGCACGTACCGCATGTCTGTCAGGCTAAGAGGCCACGCACTCACCTGAATCCCAGGAGATCCTGGTGGCCCAGGAGAACCAGGCATGCCTGCTGGGCCTCGAACCCCTTCACTGCCCTGGAAATGAGCCCCACCCCAGCAAAGTCAGCTGGGCCTTGCCCCAGCCCTGGAGACGAGGCTCTGGGCCATGAGTCCTGATGACTGCAGGCTGTCAGGATCGCGGGTTCCTAACCCCCATTCTGTTTTGGCCTAACCGTATATATTTCACACGCTACTCTCCCAAGGATCTGTCTTCATCTGCAGACATCCCCCTTTCTGCACTGCTCCTATTCAGTCTGGCATCTTCTCCAGGGTTGACCCAGGGACTGTCACGGTGGGTGCTCAGTAATGCATGTGAACTGAAGGCACACGTTGGTCCCAACAAGGTGCCGAGCCCTACATAACCTCCGATTCTTCCAGATTTAGATTGAAGAGGGTGGTTCCTCTCCTCAAGGAGCTCACAGTCCAGGGAGGATCACAGGCCCACCACAATCGGGTGTAATGCAGCCATCCATGTGCCCTGTGGACAAAGGGGCCCTGGGAGTTCAGAAGAGGGAGCAGACCACTCTGGCTGCGGGCCCGGGAAAGTGTCACAGAAGTGTCTCCAGACAACAGTCTCTGAAGGATGTCTGGGATTTGGGCAAGTGGAGAAGGGCATGCCAGAGGGAACTTCAGAGGAGGAAAAAGACTGGGAAGCGGTTACATGCTTAGCCAGGGTGTCTGGGGAGCCCATGTGGTGGGTGGGGTGGGAGGGGAGGCGGGAGGGGGACACCCTCATTGGCGGAGGAGCTTGAACACTGCTAGACCCTCTCAAACAGGCCAGTGGTTGTCAAATGGTACTTGTCAGAGCCCTGGGGTTCCTGGAGGAGGCCTGGAGCTGGGAGCACCAAGTGGGAGCACAGACAGTGGGAGTCTAGGACCCCTACCCTTGCCTTAGACAGAACAGCACTGCTTGAATCTGTTTTATATGTTGGGGGTTCACATAAGCTTTTGTGTAATGAAAAGGCTTGGAAACTACAAAATAAAGTGAAAACCACCACTGCACGCACTGGGGAGCCACTGATGGTTTGAAGCAGGGGATTGATAAGATCAGAAATGGAATTAGAACATTTATTGGATAAGGAAGGGGGAGGCAGGCAGCTTAGTGGGGAGGGCTTCTGCACTCCCTAGTAGGGAAAGGGTGGCTGCTCTGGAGCAGGGGCTGTGCGGGAAGCCAAGGGGAAGAGATTCAACTAGAGACCCCAGAGCTGGGAGAAAAGAGCTCTGGGTAGCAATGCAATGCCACAAACTGCCAGGTGGGGTCAGCACAGCCTCAGGAAATGTCAGCTCCACAGGGACTTGGGATAGGGAACCACTGGCCAGAGGTTTGGGATTCTCTGCAATGACCAGCCTAAGGAGAGCAGGCAGTGTTGGGGTAAAGGGCCAACACAGAGGGTTCTGGCAGGGCTGCCACCCAGGTGTCCCACAGAGAAGGAAAGGTAGCACCCACCACTGCCTCCACCATGGCTAATAGGTGCTGGCTCTCGGGGGGCAGTGTGGCACTAGGCTGGGAGGGAAGTCTCAGCTCTGTGTCATCTCGCTGTGGAAACCTGAGAGTCCCCCAGCCTCTCCCAGCCTCATTTCCTCACCTGAACAGTGAGAAGGCAGCACAAGGCGGCCCCTCTGTAGGTCACTTCCAGCTCTGAGAGGCTGTGCTATATGTGCTTTCAGAGGAAGGAGGCTCCCCACAAGGCTGCAGGCCTCCTGCCCTGCCCTCTGGACCATGATCTGCCTCCAACCCACGCTTAGAAGTCATAGGGGCTTGGGGTTTATTACACGACCTACTCATCATATCTGGGTCACCAGAGGTTGGACTGAGATGGGGCTATCAGCCCCCACACCAAGGAAGAGCAAGTCCCCAAATTTATCAAGGCAAACCTAGGGGCAGCCAGTGTGGGGGCTCCCCAGACTCGCTCCTTCCCACCTTTGTCACCAGGTCCCCGGCCACGCCTACCTTTTCTGAGGATGGGGGACACCCTGAGCATGGCTGCCCTGGAGGCACTCCCCGTTCCTGCTGTTGGCAGACCCAGAAGGCAAATACCCAGAGCTCTTCCTGCTGCTGGGCTCTGGGGTTCCCTGTCTCTGGGGTTCCCTCAACTCCTCACCTTCCCCCTTGAGGAGATGAAGCTGGCCTGGGCTGGCGTGTCACATGCTAGCCACCAACTCTGCCACTTTCCCACACACCATCTCCTGTCAGGCAGGGACCTCAGCTGCCATCCCTAGGGACCCACTGGTCTGCCCCAGGCCCTGTCGCCCTACGGCAGTGGCTAAGCCCATCCTGGAGCTCTCTTTGCCCACCATTGATGTAACTGAGTCAGTCCTTACATTTGTGCAGGTCTGATGCTGGGGGTAGGACAGGGCGTGGGAGCTGCATGGCTCAGATCTGTGACTGTGGCCCACTTGGGGTCCTGCTCACCTTCTCCGCTTGGGGGCCAGGGGGGCCAGGTGTGCCAGCTTTGCCTGGGAATCCAGGGGGACCCTAGAGCAACAAAGGACCAGGCGGGAATGAAAGCAGGGCTGAAGGTGCAGTTCCCCATCTTTCTCCTCCTGAGTGTGCTTCACCATTGTCAGTGGGATGCACTTTGACTTCCTAGAAGCACCACCCAGGAGCATGCCTGGGGCTGGCCGGCTGGGCTGAGGCCCACCCGGGAGGCTTTGCTCTCCAGGTCCTGGCTCCTGTAGTCAGTCCTGGCCACCCAGGCTGTTCCTCTCATGCCTCCTCCCTCCCTTCCCCAGGCCCAGCCTTGCCCAGCCGGGTCTGGTCAGGCCTGCACCCCTCCACTCCGACCCCCACCAGTCCCCCCAGATGGGGCCATAACAGACAGAGCTGGCTTTGTGTTGTCTTCACTCACCGGTGGACCTGGAAAGCCTGGCTGGCCTTGAAATCCCTAAGGGAAGAAGCAAGGGATAGTTTGCTGTGCTACCCACTCCCTCCTGCCGGCCGCCCAGGTGGAAAGAGTGACAGAGTGAGGAGTGTGGCTGCCTCACACCACAGGGCCTTGCCCTCCACTCTGCCCAAGGTGGCCGGCAGGTGAGGCTCCAGGCCTGAGATGGGCAGTTCCACCTCCAGGGGGGGCGGGGGCTGGAGGACTAGAGCCAGTGAGGGTGACCACCAGGGAGGGGACCCGGAGGGGACCTGCCCCCTCACCCCTTCCCTGCCTCCCCCACCCCCGCCATCCCCTGGGATCAGGACAGCCAGCCGGGACCCATCACCACTCACCTGGTCGCCCTTCTCGCCCGAGTTCCCTTGGGGTCCTCGCTCTCCTCGGGGACCCTGTCACCACAGAGAACAGTGCAGCTGGAGCCCAATCGCCCTGCCCTCAGACCCCAGGGCAGGCCCAGGAGCCCTCATGGCTGCACATCCCCGCCCTCTCCCTCACTCACCACTGGACCTGGGGGGCCTGCAGGGCCTTCAGAGCCTGGAGGACCCTAGGAACACACAGGAGGAGAATCACTCACCCTGACTGGGGGAGATCTGGGGATGGGACAGGGGACGGGGCACGGAGCCGAGGCAGGGGGTGTGGTGGGAGGCCCCTTTAAGCTGGCCTGAGCTACTGAACCAGCTCTGCCTAGTCCTCACCCACCCACCCACTCCAATCCAGCCAGCAACTGATTGCCACCTTTTTTTCTTCAGCACAGATCTGATTATAACACACTTGCTTGAAAACTTTCCATGGATCCCTTGGCCAACCAAATGAGGTGTACATTTTCCAGCCATGCTGGGTTTTGAGGCATCCTGAGATCTGGTACCAACAAGCCTTTCCTGCTTTGCCTCCCTCACCCTTGACTACTGTTCCCTGACATACCCCTGGGCCTCTGCATAGCTGTCTGCTCTATCTAGAATGTCCACCATCCCCCCCACACACACCCTTTCTATGTATTTGAAACCTTACCAAATCATTAGATGGGTCCAATCTGTTCCTGAGGTGCTTCTCCCCATGGCCTCCCACTCTGGGATTCCCCAGTGCAGACACCCCTGTGCCTCCCCTGCCCCCAGCTCCATTCAGGGCTCAGCTCAGAAACCTCCTCCTCAGAAAGGCCTCCCTGACCTTCTGTCTAAAGGCAGCCTATACCCTCTCCAGACCCTTGCCTCGCTCCATTTTCTCCATTGGCTTTCTCTCTCATGATTTCTATGTATTTTTTATTCATCTGTTATCTGCCCCCAACCCACCGACTCGAATATGAGCTCCATGAGGGGAATGGGCACAACTGCCTGTTTTATTTATCACAGCATCTTCAGAACGGAATCTGGCACCCAGAGGCCCATGCAAAATATTGGTCATTGAATAAATGCATGCCCGTGCTCGCTGCTTCACTGACATGCCTGATGGGGGAGGTAAGATTACAGTTTGGGAGACTTGCCCCAGTGTCCTCAGCTAACCGCCCGGCTGGTGCATTCAGCACGGGGCCTAGCACTCCCTGGCTCCGTGGAAGGTGGCTCTGGGCTGGCAGGGGACAGGCCAGGTGGCGGGGCAGGGTCTAGAGTCCCAGGCCTGGCTCTCTCAGGCCGTCCCTGCCCACCTGCCTTTGTGAGGAGGAGGCAGCTCTCCTGCCAGCCAAGTCCCAGCCCGCTTCCCCCTTGGCAGCCGGGCCAGCCCCTCTCCATGAAACCTGCTGGGATTCTCAGATTCTGCCTCCGCAGCAACCAGCCCACTGCTTCAGCGGCAGCTGGAGTGGCTCAGGGGGCTTGAAAGCAGGGGTCATGTCTCCCGCTTCCCAGGCCACTGGGACAATCTCTAGAGGTCGGGGAGGTATAGGCTGGGACAGCTCCATTTGAAGCCCTTCCTCACACCCCTGCAGAGCTGCACTCACCGACTCTCCCTTCTCTCCTGCAGGCCCAGCATAGCCACGCTCCCCCTTGATGCCCTGACAAGCAAGCAGAGAGAGCAGAATTAGCCAGTGGCCCGCCCATCGTGGCGCTAATATGAGGGGTGGAGACTGCAGCTGGCACGCAGACTGGCACTTAGAGGCAGATGGCAGCGAGGATGGCGGCTGGGGGAGGAGAGGGGTGGGCCACTTCGCACCTGCCACTGTGGCCCTCAGTGGAAAGAAGGGATGCACCCACCAGGTGGGACAGTGTGCCTCCCCCTGTGTCCCCAACTCTCCCAACCCCTGCAGGAGGCAGATCTCAGTCCCTGGGTCTGGGTCGCTCAGCGTGCTGTGAGAGTCTAGCCCTCTAAGTGCAGAGACTGCAGTGGACCCCCCAAAGGGGAGTGGTAGGACCGAGCTACACTGCCCAGGGGACTGACAGTGGGGGCTCTGCCCAGATGACCTGGGCTGAGATGCTTGGAAGGGAGGGAGCCTGCTTGAGGGATACCCAAGCCTAGTCTTGTCCTGACCACCACCCAAGGCTCTAGTACCCCCAGAGGCAGCATCCCCTTACTCACAGGCAGTCCTGGGGGGCCCATGGCACCTGGGTAGCCAGGTTGCCCTGGAGGACCCTACAAAGAAAGGTAGACATGATGGACCAGTCCCCCAACATTTCCGTCCCCACTCCCTGAGTGAAAGGTAACCACAGCCAGAATGTCTAAAGCTGCTACTCAACAGGCACACGCCCACCCCAGGACAGCCACCACCTTGGGTCATTTTCCCAAGGCTCAGGTGCCTTGGGTTGTGACTGCCACCACAGGCCTGGGGCTGGGTGACTAGCACCAGCCTGATCAGGACCCTGGGTGCTAAGCCAGAGGAGAAAGCCCAGAGCAGGGGTTGGGGCAGGCCCGGGAAGGGGAGGGAAGGGGCATGTTGACTGCTGCTGGCGGAGGGATGCAGAGAACCCCCAGGGATGCTGATGGAAGCCGGAAGACAGGGGTGTTTGCCCCGTACAGGAACTGGGTACATGGAGCTCCACCTCCTGGGTCCTGAGGGAGTGTGAATACCCCCACCCAGAGGGACTCAGGGCTGAGGGGCAGAGTTTCAGAAGATAGCGCCCACCTCCCATCTTCCACCTGGCAGCCATCCCTGGGGCCCAGACTCTGTCTCCCCAGAGCTCTCCATCTATCTCCATCCCCCGCCACCTCTTACCAGTTCCCCCTTCTCTCCTGATGGGCCCCTGAGGCCTCGCTCTCCTTGAAGACCCTTGGAGAGAAAAATCATGAGTAACTGCAGGGGAGGGCAGTCCCCAGCCGGCCCTAGACTCCTCCTTCCTGCCTGCAGCCCTCTGTTCCTGGGCCAGGCACAGGTGGGAGTTGCTGGTTGCCCCCAGTACCCCCAGCAAGGTGACGACAGGGGGTGTGCCCCAGCAGGGTAACTGTTAGAGGCATGAACTCTCGCATATGGGTGCCCCTCAGGAGCAGAGCCCCCAAGTCAGGTAACTACTGAGATAAGCCCCCCTAGGAGGGTGACTCTCGGAGAGTACCTCTCAAGCAGATCTCTGTCCCTGGTGTGCCCTACAACTGTAACTATCTGCGGTGTACCTTTAGGAGCGTGACACATGTGTGCTTCCCCCTGAGGGGCAACTGTCAAGAGAGGTGTCCCTAGAGTGATGTTCCCCACCAACCAGGTACCCAACACTTACCTGTCCAACCCCACCCCCTTCCAGCCAAAAATCACCTTCTTTTAGGGATGCAGCAGGGAGGCATGTGAAGGCCCCCTCCAGAGCAGTCCCTGTCCCTTTTTACGGTGGAAAGGGGTATCAGTTTCAATCAGAGCCAGAGCCCCCGCCCCTCAGTCCTCACCCTGATCTTCGTGGGTTCACCACACCGCTTAGGGGCCATGTCTGCCCCTTCTCCCTTATGCCCTCAAGAGATGGTGCCCGAACCTTTCCACCACACAAGACAGATGGCTAGACAGACAGATGGCCCCTTCACCCAAGCAAGCAGGAACAGACAAGGTCCAGCCAGAATGAGGACGTGGGGACAGATGGAGTGACAAGGAGGGCCCTGCTCCCTAAGCCTCCAGCACCAGGCCTGGGAGGAGAGGAGCCAGGCCCCAGGAACATGGAATCTGACAAACAGGAGGTTAGTTTCCGTGACCCAGGAGGGAACAACAGTGAGGATGGGGATGATTTAAACACACTTGTGACGATGACGAAGGCAGAGCAATTAATGACACCTGGCAGAAGGAGCAGACCAAGACTCTGGGCACAGAGGGGCAGGGCCCCCCGACACCCAGAAACCCAGCTGGCTGGCCTGCCATGCCCAGCCTGGGAGCAGACCAGGACTGGAGCCGAGGAAGAGGAAAGGAAGGGGAGGAAGCCGAGCATTTCCTCTGGGACGATGGGAAAGGTGCAGGTAAGGCCACCTTTAAATCCCTGGGGTGCCTCTGGACAGCCCTGCCAAGCAGCAGGGCAGCAAACCGGTGCCAGCCTGCAATGTGAAGCCCTAAAGCTTTGGCATCTCTTCCGGGCTCTGTGCCAGGCACCTGGCAGGGCCCCAAGAACTACTTTCAGCAAATCTTCAGTCAACACCAAAGGTGGGAGAAGCAGGAGGCAGAAGTGAGAAGGGGCAAATAAAGAGGCCGCTGGAGGCACCAGCTCAAAATAAGAAGGTAAAAGAGCTCCTGAGAACTTAGGGGAGTGATGTGGATCTTGGGAAAGAAAAGGGAACCGGAGAGGGCAGAAGAGAGAAGATGGAAGCAGGAGATGAGGGAGAAGAGAAAATGGGAAGAAGGCAGAGGCCAGAGGATGTCCAAGCTGCTGGGACCTCGGGGGACCCGTGTCGTTAGCTACCACTGCCTGCAGGGGGACAATGACAAACACGGAGGAGGGAGGAGGGGGACAAGCGAGCGAAGCCACAGAGACCTGGCTGGCAGGTGGGGGAGGGGAGGTCGAGCAGCGCTAGGTTCTTACGGGCAATCCGGGGGAGCCAACAGCACCAGGGAAACCTGGGGGGCCCTGGGGGGAGAAACAGGCAGGTCACATCTTACAAGCACAGTAACCTGGGACACAGTCTGGGCTGAGGGCTGTGGGGAGAGGAGGTCACGAATATGCTCGAGGCAGCGGGAAAGAGACTCTTTGAAAGTCTTGGCCCAGAAGACATAGGCTCCTTCCCTTGGCTCCGGAAGGATGGCTCCGCCATCAGCAGAGAGGAGAAACAGCCCCAGAGTCAAACGGGGTCTCCCCACTGCCTGCCTGCATCAGATACCCTTGCTGGAATGGAAGCCCATCCTGTCTGCTGCCTGACCTCCATGCGTCCCCCGCTGGACGGCTCCCTGGTTCTAAGATGGCTCCCACCAGCCATTTTTTTTCTCCAAAGAAAGCATTTTCAGTTTTTCCAGACTTTCTTAGTCACTTCTATTTTCCTGCCATATCAACACCACAGAAGATTCCAGGGTAGATGCCCCCACTCTGGCCTTTGTAGACTTGTCCTAGAGATGGCCCTACAGAGCAATGGAGGGCACCTCCATATCAGCTCCTGGCCCCTGTAGGGACTGGTGTCACGGCGGTGTGAAGAGATCTGACCAGGTTGCCACCACTTTCTTGGCTGCTGAGACCATGAGCCAGGAGCCGAGGCCCTCCTGCCTAGGGCAGCCTGAGTCCAATGTGCAAAACACCACAGAGATGGGGATGCAGAGACAGGGATGCACCCTTGAGGGCTCCCCTAAGCAGGACCACAGGCAGGGCAAGGTGGAGCAGGCCAGACCCAGGGGACTCAGTGGCCAGAGTCCACAGTCCCTGCAGATGCTCTGATGAGGGAAAGGAGTGGGCAAGTGGAAGTCCCCCGTTTCTGCCCTGCCCAGCTTCATGGAGACAAGGCAGCAGAATGGTGTGTGGGCATTGTGACCCCTTTGAGACCTTCTCAAGTGGGGCAGGAAATCACAGATACTTACAATAGGGCCCGGAGGACCTGGGGAACCCCTCATGCCAGGTGGACCCTGTAAAGGAAGCCAAGGGAAAGGGGTGAAGGGACTCAGGCCCCAAAGAGCCCCCATGGCCCCCCAACTTTCCTCCCAGCTCACAATAGCCAGAGTGAACAGAGGGCGGCTGATGCCAAAGCAGGACCATTCAGCTAATGTTAAACCCTCCAACCAGTTCATTTAATCAGCCAACAAACATTTACTGAGCAGCTATTATGATGAAGCACTAGTCCAGGGGATGGGGACACAGCAGTAAACAAAACAGAAAAAACCCTGCCTCATGTTGCTCACACTCTAGGGGAAAGGTGCCCATAACAGATAGCACAGGGGCTGCCACATGCTGCTCGACAGGTACCTGTAGCATATTCCTAAGTGAAGGAAGAGACACTCAGGGTGATGGGAGCGATGCAGGAGGGGCCTGGGGGTTCTGGGATTGGGGGGTTACTTTAGAGAGGTGGTCTCCCTGAGGTGAGGCTTGAGCAGTGGGCTGCAGGGGGGAAGCAGCGAGTCCTGGAGAAGGGCTGCCAGCAGAGGAGGCAGTTGGACGGGGGGAGAAGAAGAGCAGATGTGCTCTGAGCAGTAAGAGACAACGGGTGTCCTGAGGCCTCGGAGGCCCCGGAGGACTCCCACAAGACAGGGAGCCGGTGGACAGCCGAGAGGACATCTGGCTGGAATGACACTGCCCCCCAGGAACTGAGGGCCTCTTAACATGGAAACATTAGCCCTTGAGGCCCTGCCCGGATGAGGGCTCGGCCACTGGTCTTACCTCTTCTCCCCTCTGGCCGGGCAATCCCGGGGGGCCGGGCAGGCCGGGACTCCCAGCACAGCCTGGATCTCCTTCATCGTTGTCTCCCTGGAATGGGAAGGAGATGGCAGGTGTGAGCAAACAGGGCCCCTCCCCGTGGGCTCAGGACCCAGGGCCAAGAAAAGGCAAGAGCCACTCACCCGGGCCTCCTCAGCTCGTGGACGCTCCCGCTCTGCGAAGCACTGGGGAGGACAACGAGGGACCCTCTGTCAGGGAGGACAGCCCAGCCCTCCCTGCACCAGGGTGCCCCGAGCCCAGCCTCCTACCCAGGCACAGTTGTCGAAGCCTGGCACACCAGGGATGCCCTGATCGCCCTTCTGTCCTTTTTCCACAAGGGCCGCTGGGTGGGCTGTCTGCCCCTGGGCACATTCCCCACAGATGCTCTGAGGAAGGAAAGGGAGGCTGGTGGGCCATGGGTCTGAGAAGGCCAGGATGGGCTGGATGGGGGAACCCCTTGGAACTCAGCCCGGGCATCTTGCCTGGAGTCCTCCACCCACACGCCCTTTCTCCCCAGCCACATCCTTGCGGCAGCTTTGCTTCATCCTCAGGGGACCCGATCCCAACCCTGGCTCTGAGTTTCCTCCAGCAAGCAGCTCTGGTAGGGCCAAGCCAAAGCCACTTTCCAGACAGGCGTGTGGGAGGAGGCGGAGGGGCCCGCAGAGGGACCATCTGTCCCGGCTGTTCCTGCAACCTGCACCTACTGTGGGGACGTGCCATGAGGGTTTAGGCTGAAAAGGCAGTTCCAGCACCAGCTTCTCTGCACAAGGGAGCAATGGTGGCAGCAGCTGCAGGAGGAGCCGGGCGCTTCGCAGACACCCTCTGGGGTGGGCCTGCCCTCCCGCACCAGGGGACCCTGACTGTCACAGGCTCCTGGGCTCACTGGGCCTGAGCAGTCTTCCCAAAGAGAAAGCCCTCCTCTTACCAGGGGTTTCAGCCTCTTTGGGTCACAGACCCCTATGGAAGCTTGGGGGAAGCAATGAGATCTCTTCCCGGGAAAATAAAACCCACTAGTGAAAACTGGACTATGATGTTAAAGACTCTGGAGCCTGGGGTCTGTCCGTGGTGGAAGTCCTGCTCCACCCTCACTGTTAACTGCAAAGCCCCATGATAGTGGGCTCCATTTACTCAGCACCCAGGAAGCCAGCCTCATAACAGGACTTTACACATTACCACATTCAATCCTGACCACACAAGGAGGCAAGTAATCTTATATGCATTCTAGAGATGGGAAAGCGGATGTTCAGCAAGACAGCAGGATACATCTGAGGCAAGGGCAGCCTGGTTGGATGCTGGGCTGTCTGAGGTCACAGCTGGCACCCTGTCCGTAGGTCCAGACTTCCTCTGGGCCATGGGTGCATGTGGTGGCTGGAGCTCCAGGCCCCCCTTGAGTGCCATCTGACCCTTCTCCAGACCACTATCAGTTCCTGTTTGGGACCCTTCATGGAGCACTTGATTGAGATGCCGTCAGATGAAATGTTATACAGAGAAATGTCAAATCCTGCATTTGGAGTCTACAGTCACATGCCTGGAGGCAGGACTTAGAGGAACCCCAGCTTGCCAGGAGCCTAGGGGAGAAGAGCTGGGGTTTCATTGCTACACTTCACTGCGATCCAATCTGCAACTGTTGCCAGGTTAACCCAACCTCAGGCTGCTGCTGGAGACATCTGCTGTCTGCGCTGGGACCTAGGGGTGGTGGGAGACCCAGGGCACTGACTAGAGGGGATCAGGACAGCGGGACTCTGGAGGCCAAGGTATAGGAGGGACCCCAGAGGATGCTGAGCTGGAGGAGAGTCCAGGTCTTGTCTCTAGAGGTGACTGAGCAGGGAAGGTGTCACCCTTGGTACTCAGCCAGGGAGGCCAGGCCAGAACCCAGCTCTGGGCGTAAGCCTGGTATTATTGGCAGGCCCTAGCACAGGCGGACTCCCCTACCAGGCCCAAGCCCCCTTTCTTGCACCACTAGAATTGCTTCTCAAACCCCATCTCCTCCCTGGTTTGTTTCTGGATTGACCAGAGGTTGCTTGAAGCCTTCTCCCAGGCCCCAGGCCCAGTCCCATCATAGAACATAACCTTCCTTTTCAGTGACCCTTCCAATGACCTACAAGAGTACTTCCACCCTCCCGCTCTGCTCTGGAAGAGGCTGGGCCCTGCCCTGGTGTGACCAGGGTGGTGCAGGGCTTTGTTGGTAGCTGCCGCAGGCAGGCTTCAGAGTTGGAAAGCCAACAGCCTCCACTGTGTGGGTACCTTCACAGGATCCCTTCAAACGCAAATATAACTATGTGTCTGCTACCAGCTAGGCCCCAAGCTAGGCCCTCAGAGACAGATGCTTGGGAAGCACATTCCCCACAAACAGCTCCATCTGCAGCTCCCTCGGTGCATGCGGCATCACACAGCCTAGCACTCACTACAGCAATCCCCTTAGGAGACACCCGTTGAGTTCCTTCTCCCTCCTTTTATCCGCTTACCTTCAGGAGGTGCTGTTCAATCGGTAGGGACCCCTGCAAGAGACAGCAGGGCTCAGGCAGGTGAGGGGACCAGGGTGGAGACTATGGGATCAGGCGGAGTCTCAGGAAGCCCGAGCCCTCCAGGCTTCTCCCAGCCTCAGCAGAGGGAGAGAGGAGGGACCCTCCCCTACAGCTCAGGGGGCTGGCAGGGAGGGCAGGGTGGGGGTTGGACAGTGAGCTCTGGCCAGGACCTACCAGTTCCGCAGTTAGGCCTGGCTGTCCTGGCAAGCCGTTGTTTCCAGGCACTCCCTGCAGCCAAGAGGAGACATGAGTAAGTGGACCCCTCTCCAGCCCATGGGTCACCCTGCTGCATTCCCACCACCCCCAGGGCCTCTTCCCCTCCTCCTGCAGAGCTGAGAGCCCTGACTGGCCCAAGTTGGTATCTATTCTTAACTCAAAAAATCTCCAGACTGTTTGGAGGGAAAGCTGAGGGGGCCTGGAAGGGTGACCCCAAAATCAGTCCAACAGGGAGTTTTCCCCATGTTAAGGAAGGGTCAGAAATTGGGCGGCGGTTCTTCCATAAGTAAGGATTGTTTCTTTTTGAGTTAGGTACTTGTCCTATGTTTTCTCATTTCGTCATCACGGTTATCTTGGTGAGCTAGGTGTTGTTACTCCATCTTAAAAACAGAACTCTTCAGAAAAAAAATTCAGAGAGGGTAACTTGCCAAAGGTCACAGGACAAGGAAGGTGCAGAGATGAGATTGAGAGTGAAGACCACTGGCCTCAACCCCTCTACATCAGCATCACTCCTCAGCCCGTCCCCCAGAACACTCCCGCATGCAGGAAGGTGGGGTCTTGGGAGTCAGATCTACCTATATGCAAACCCTGACTACCAGTATAACTTTTTTACTTGGGGAAAAAGATTCTCTGTGCCTTATCTGTAAAACAGGGATAGTTCCTGTGGGGCTTAAAGGAGATCATGGCTGTAAGGAGCTTAGTACAGAGCCTGGCACGCAGGATGCTCACGAAAAACGTGTGCTACCCAGACTGTTTCCCTTGCAGACTCACAATGCACATTTGCATATTAAATACACCATGGAGGCAGGGAGTATGTTCCGTTTTAAATCCCCCATGCCCGACAAGGAGGAGGCATGCATTAAATACGCATTGAGTGAACGCACCGCTGCTCACCCTGCTCTGCCCACACGGGATTTCCTTCACCCGCTCTGAGAGCTGGCCTCCCTTCAAGTTCCAGCTCCTAGCAGCAGAACACACCACCTTGCTCACCAGCCTACACTATTTCAGGCCAAGCTTTACCAGGCCTGGGTCAGACCTGAAGTCAGCCTCCTCCTGCACCCCAACCCTCTCTTGTTCTTCATCCTACATGAGTTAACAGGGTAAAGTGCTTAGAACAGTGCCTGGCACAGGGAAAACACCTTGAACGTGTTATTATAATTATGCCCCTGGATTCACCCCCTGCTCCATTCTCTGCTGCCATGTGTTAGTTCAAGCCAGATACTCTGTGATTTTCTTTCCTGCCCCACTAAATGTCCCACTTGTTCTACTGTAGAAGTAAAGAGCTACCTATTCAATATTTACTAACTACAAAGTCTCTGACACATTTCTTAACCTCTATGCCTCAGTCTCCTTTTCTGTGAAATGGATAAGAATGACAGGAGATTACATACATGGGCAAGTGCATGCTGTATCTCTCAGAGCCTGCTTCTGTACCTGCAGACAGAAACTTTTGGGCCTTCCCTTCTTTGGAAGGACGACAGGAGACCACCTGGCAGAGAGGGCCTGCACTCTGCCTGGCACGAAGCAGGTGCCTGTTAGCAGCCGCCTCCAGATGGTGCCAGCACTGGCACCAGAGCAGGACTCCAGTCTCTGCAGTCACTCTTTTCTGCCCTGTTCCCTGAGCATGTCTCGGCAGGGTTCACATTCCATCAGCATGTGCTTGTTAATGGGTCACTTTGAAATGACTCTCATGCTTCCCCAAGCAAACTGCAAGCCCCCTGCAGACAGATTCCAGCTTCCTGGCAGAAGATGATGTCCAGGAACTTGGTAAATGTGTGGCTGCCTATGGGAGACTGAAAGTTGGCTCTAGTTCTGAGCTTTTCATGAGATGAGAAAACTGAGGTTCTGGCAGAGAGTCCCATCAGCAGTGGTGACTCCCCAGAACAGATTCTCAGCCCAGGGTGGGGAGGGTTGGGGAGTGTATAAAATCACCAGGGCAGGAGGGAATCGTTTATAAAAAGCTTCCGTGTGATTCTGCTCTGCTGTTTGGATGAGAACCAATCTTCCAGGAGCTGGGAGCCAGACATGCAGAAGGCACTATGTGTGCCTCCTAGGACCTCTGGAAAATGTGGCCTGGTGTGCCATCCCTGGGAACTCTCCTGAAGGGAGGAGGAAGTGGCAGCATCGTCAGTTCCTAGCCAGATAACCTCAGGCAAGATGCTTCCCCTCTTGGGGCGTTAGTTTGCCCTGCTGTGACTTGGGGATAACAACCACCCTTCTATTGGAATTGTAAGATGAAAGTGTAAGTTGAAGATGTAAGGCTCAAACAAATGAGAGAATGAATGTAAAATCTTAATAGTAGTCATTGTAACGGTGGCTAAATGCCTCCAAAGTATTTACTATGTGCCAGCTTGGCTCTACATATTTCACACAGATTAACTTGCTTAAAACTCACAAAAGCCCCATGAGGTATGTACTGTGATTATCTCCACTTAACAGATGAAAGAGTTGAGGCACAGGGAGGGTAAGTAACTTGTCCAGTATCACACAGCTAGCACATAGCAGAGCTGGGAATCAAAGTCAGACTTCCTGGCTCTGGAACGCCCACTCTAATCACAGTGATCCATCTCCTACAGCTGTCCCCTCACTATCTCTGGTCTCTTTGCTATTCCCCCAAACATGTCAGGCCCATTCCCACCTCCAGACCTTTGCACCTGCTGCTTTCTCTATCAGGAATACTCTTCTCACAGGCTCACCATTTCCTTTAAATCTTGATTCAAATGTACTTTCTTTTCAACACTTCTCAAATATCTTCCGTGCCTTCCTCCCATTTTCTCTCCCCACCTCCTGCTTTTTCTTTCTTCTTAGCACGTATCATTTTCTAACGTACAGTATTTTATTTATCTTGCTTATTGTCTGTCTTTCTTACTAGAAGGTAAGCTTCAAGAGAGCAGGGATTTTCATTTTTGTCCACTGCTGTAGCATCACCATGTAAAAAGAGTGTCTGGAAAATAGCACATGTGCAAAGCTGCTTGTTCCATCAATGAATGTGGAAGGCTGCTCCAAACAGTGCAGCTCTGTACCAGCGTAAAGGATGGCTTGACCCAGATTCTGGGCTCCTAACAGCTGGCCAGGGCCTGAGTTTGCCCCATGTCAGTGGGGTGCCTAGACTCATACAGATCTTTCCTTGAGAAGCGGCTGGGGGCATGCCCACCTGCCCTGAGGGAATCAGTGGGCCCTCCATGCCACTCTGGTGTGCAGAGGGGGAGAGTGACCAGTGTATGTGCTGGGCGAGGGAGCAGCACCCTCAGGGTCTGGCCTGGAGCATGAGTCCTACCACACTGCCTCCCAAACGCTTATTCTCTCCTCCCTCTTTACCTGCAGCCCAGGCATTCCAGGGGGGCCTGGTGGTCCGGGAACACCTGGAGGACCCTGAGGGAAAAAGAAAGAATCAGACCCAGAAGAAAGGCCTGCCCCCTCACTGAGGGCAGCAGTTTAAGGTGGGTAAGCCGCAGGGTGCTGGCGGACAAGAGGAGAGGCAGAGGAGACCAGCGACACACACCTGCGGGCCCGGCTGCCAGGAGCTGCCCATCCAAAGTCCCGGAGCACCCTGGGTGGGAGTGGGGGTCGCAAAAGAAGGGGAGAGGTTATAGGCAGCGTCCACACCAAGCGCAGGGCTGCGTGGGGAGGCAGCTGGCTGTGGCGCAAAGCCCTGCAGGGCCCCCTTGCATGTTGGGCCAAGGCAGGAAGCCAGGCCTCTCCCCCTGGGATGGGGGGAAGGCTCTCAGCACCACTTACCGGCATGCCAGAGAAGACAGGGTCTCCCCGGGAAGGGCAAGAGCACTCTCCTGGTTCGCCCTGAAAAGACAAAAACCTTTGTCAGAGGAGAGTAAGGTTGGAGGGCCTTCTGGAAACCAACATCTGGGAGACAGTCCAAGCTCTAGGGATGGAGAGGCCAGGACGGAGAGGATCTGCCTCTTATGATTGTGCCCAGTCCAGTCAACCTCTCTGAACCTCAGTCTCCTCATCGGTAAAATGGGGAGAACAATACCAAATGCACAGACAGGCATGAGGGTGGAGTGGATTAATGTACAGAGAGTCACTGCCACATGGCAAGCTCTCGGCCCATGACGGCTGCTGCTACCATCGTTTTCCATTTCGGCAGCATATGCTACACAGTATTCTTGCCTCCAGCTCAGCCGGGCTGTAGCTCCACACCTCTTGGCCCACCCTGGCTTCCAGGCCCTTCTTTCTTGGCCCCTCACTTCTCTGCCCCTGTGCCAATAGTTTTTCCCAACTCAGTTCCTGGCCCTGCCCTGACTCGGGCCCCATTGGAGAATGCACCTGCGCCGCTACCCCACCCCAGGGGTCTTAAGGGCTCCCTGGGTCTGGTCTCCTGGGTCAACAAACAGGTGGAATAGAAAGTAGGGCCCCTGCTTCCTGGAACCACGGAGCCAGTGGGTAGCAAGGAGTCCAGGTTAACTCCTTAGCTCCTGTCCTCCAGTCCAGAGCCCTTACCACATGCACAGGTTCCCCTGGTGATGGGGCTACAGGGCTGCTAATTTCCCCAGAATATTGGCTACAGATCCTTAGGACTCACCTTCTCTCCCTGAGGCCCCTTTTCACCCTGCAGAGAAGAAACACACAGAGGTAAGTACATGGGGTGTAGAGGCAAAGCCAGCTGTGGTTTCCTGCTGCCCCAAGACACAGTACTCACTGGCACCCCTCTGGCTCCCGGAAGTCCAGTCTGTCCTTGCTGCCCACCAGGGCCCTGAAGGGAGAGAGACCAGTGTTGGTGGGCAAGGCGGGACGGAGGTCAGCCATCTGGCCCACCTCAGGGGAGGGTGGTAGGACAAACAGAAACCACCCCAGGAACCCTGGGGCCCAGGTCCCCACACTGAGACACAGGAGAGGAGGGAGGAGGAAGGAGACAGGCGTTTCCTGAGCCCCAGCTGGGTGTCAGATGCCAGGCATGGAGTGCCCGACAGATGGGGAACACCAAAGAGCCCCCAGCTCCCGCCCTGCTAGACAGGCGAGAACACCAAGGCTTAATGACATCTGGTAACAGACCCAACAGCATGACTGTGCCCAGGCCTGCGGTGCCCAAAGTCCCTGCCCTCTCCTCTCCCCCTTTAGTGCCCAATAGACATTCTCTCTGTCACAAAGCTTATCTCAATTGGCAATGGAGAGAGAGGAATTTCAGCCCCTATTTTATCAACAAGGAACTGGAGGCTCTGAAAGGCTGTCACTTGCCTAAGGTCACACAACTGGCACACAGAGCATGAGGCCAGGATTGAGAAGACTCCCAGATGGGATTCAGTTTGAGGAAAGAAGCTCTGGAGAGGTCAGCCTGGCGGCCCAGGGGCATTCTGACTGCTGCCCCCCTGTAGGACATGCCACCTTCACACACGGGACTTGAAGCCCATGGGCCAGAGCCACCTTCACCTTAACCCTTGCTGTTAGCGCTGCTGGGCAATACAGGTTGGCTGTGATTCCCAAACGAGACTCAATTTCTCACCGGGTCCATAAGACAGAAAAGATATGGTTCACTGGGCTACTTTCAACATTACCCAAAGCCGAGGAGAAATTATACATTTGCCCACAGCCCAGCATGGCACAGTTTAGCTGAAAAGTAGCATTTCTTTGATTTAGGCTAGAATTATAATATCTTGTAAAATTCTAGTGGGTTCGTGTGGAGCAGAAGCTGACTATTATGTGGGTCTTTGGTGAATGAAAATTAGGAAATGTATTTATTATTACTTAACCTATGCAATTTTTTCAATAGACACATCTTCTAAAACATGGGAATCATTGGTGGGATAGTAACGAGAGGTCTTTGAGGGTAAAAGTTGGAAGAGGTAATGAAGCTTGTCTAGATAGATCTGTGCTGTCCACTATCATAGCCAATAGCCACATATGATTATTTAGATTTTATTTAAAATTAAGTGACATTTAAAACTCAGTTCCTCAGCCACTCTAGCTACATTTCGAGTGCTTAACAGCCACATGTGGCTAGTGGCTACCATCTTGGGCAGTACAGAATAGATTTCCATCATTCTAGATAGTTCTGTTGGGCAGCGCTGGCTTAAATGATCCCTAATGGCTCCAAAGTTTGAAGTGGGCATGGGGGAGTTAACATATGGACTTTGAATCAAACAGACCTGGGTTCAAGTCCTGGCTCTGCCTTCTCACTCTTTGGCCTTCAGTTTCCTTATCTATGAAATGGGGACAATAATAGCCATTCCCTTCCAGGACTGTTGTGAGGAGTAAGTGAATCGCTGCTTGTTAAGAACTTGACACAAGGCCTCAGCAGTCATTGCTCAAAAAATGGTGAAGATCAGCAATGTCATTATTCAGGGGCTTCCCTCAAACAGTACCGCCTACCTCCTCTGAGGCTGGGCCAGGCTGCGACCCCTCTCCTCCCATGTCCCATATTGGTGGGACAGGCAGAGACAGCCCTGGGCCCTCTTCCCAGCAGCAACATCCTTGGCCCCAGCAATGCCTCCAGCATGGCACACAGAGAGGACCCTTACCGGAGGCCCAGAGACACTGGTTCCAGGAGGTCCCATAGGTCCAGGAGCTCCTTTCACCCCTGGAGATCCCTGTGGAAGAGAGGGCGCAAAGGTGGTAGGGCAATCCAGCAGATGAGATGCTTCAGACCAGGGCAGCCCTTGGAATGGCATCCACCACTCAGCTCCCATGTCCCCTGCACCCATGGCCAGGACACTCCAAAGCCTGCAGGCCTGGAGGCTCACCTTGGTACCCTTCTCTCCAGCAGAGCCATGTGGCCCCCGAGGTCCCCGAGGCCCCTGCAGATGGAAGCACAGATTATCAGCCCTTACTCTACAGTGGCCCCTTCTCCTGCCAGCTTCCTAAGGCCCAAAGCAGACGTACCTGAATGCCAGGCAAACCCTGGGCTCCAGGCTCTCCCTGTAAGTCAGAAAAGGCAGACTGGGCCACAGCTGCCCAAGCCAACTGCCCCACTGGCAGGCCTGGTCTGGGGTGGAGTGTCCACCAGTCCAAACTCAGGAGAGCTCCCCAGGGAGACTCTGAGGGGCAGAGAGGCAGGGGTCAAAGTCACCATCCCTGACAGAAGCAATGGCAAGCCAGGGCTACTGCCAGTCCCTTAGCCCAGGGCTGTGCCTTTAAGCACTTGGGGACTGGCAGAGCCTGGTGGTTTTGGGGGTATATGGGAGTAGGCTGCTGGCTAATGGAAGTGTTGGTGGGGGGTCAGACAGGTGAAAGTAAGGCTGGAGACTCACCTGGGGCCCCTGGGCTCCCATTCCTGGTGGCCCAGGTTCTCCCTGAAGAGGCATAAGGACAATTGTTGGCTTGAAACTCCCCACTCACCCTTGACCTCTTCCTTAGCCCCTTCTCCTTAACCTTCTCCCCTTCTACCTTCTCCCTTCTCTGTAGCTGATCTCATTCCCCACTTCAGGCCCACTGCCCCCATGGGTCTCCCCAGCCCACCCTCACCCACACATACCTGTATGCCCTTTAGTCCAGGGGGTCCTTGAACTCCTGGTAGGCCAGGTTGGCCCTAAAAGACACAGATGGCCCATGGGTCCCGCAGGAGAAAGAAGGCAGGAGGGACAGAAGGTCAAGCCCAGGCTGGGAAGGACCAGAGGGCTGGCACTTGGGAACTCACCGGTTTACCAGGCCGGCCCACACCTTCCAGGCCTGGCTCTCCTTTGGGACCCGGCTTCCCAGGCAGCCCAGCCATGTCCGTCATCGCCCCCTGCAGGCTGGGGCAGGCAGTGCATCCATCACCCTGGTCAGAGATGGGCACATGAGCCGGTGAGCCAGGGCTGGCAGCCAGGCCAGGAGGAGGCATCAGAAAAGGGGTCCTAGTACCCTTCTGAAAGCTCTGCTCCTCTGCTGCCCCCTCAGCCTGGGAAAGCAAAATAGTAGCTGACACTCCTAGGTCTTCTCCCTGCCTTGGAGAAGAGCTGAGACGCCTCGCTCCACCCAGTGATTCCGGCATCCTGTAAAACCCACAGCTTGACTCCACAGTTCCTTGCTTCATTAGCACTCGGCCTAATTTCTTTTTGTTCATGCAAAAAATTGCTCCCTGCCTGACTGACCTTTTCCCCTTTCGGCCCCATGGGGCCCCGCACTCCAGGCTCTCCTGACAGTCCCGGCTGCCCCATGGTGCCTGGCGTTCCAGGATCTCCAGGATTCCCAGCAACACCCTGTAAGGAGTAAGGTTCAAGGAGGGCAGAGGTGACTCCGCTGGGGGCAGACCGCCTCTTGGGACCTTCAGATATTCAGAGCCCTTTGCTGGGGGTGGGGGCCAGGCAGGGAGTGGAGAGTGGGCACAGGGCAATCAGGAGAAGGTGATGGGGGGGTATCTGAGAGGATGTGGTGCCCACGGAGGCTCTCTCACCTTCTGCCCCTTCAGTCCCCGCTCTCCGGCCTTGCCCTGGGGAGAAAGCACTTCCAGTACCCACCCACTCACACAAGACACCCCAAAGTGCCTGGCACTGTGTTAGACCCAGGGAACACCACAGTACACAAAATGGGCCTGAATCTCTGCTCTCATTCTAGGGAAGCGATACTGAATAGATTAAGAAAAGAGGCTTGAGCCAGAGTCCTGCCTGGGTGACCCTGGGCAAGTCACTCAACCTATCTGTGCCTTGATTTCCTCATCTGTCAAATGGGAATGATAAAAATAGCACAGGCTTCTAGCCGGCAGAGCCCCTGTGAGATCAGAGGACCTCACACACGTGGAGCGGCACAGGCACCCGGTGTATACAGAAATAACAGCAAGCACCACAGTGGTGACTCTCACCTCCTGAGGCCCGCTGGGTGCTGCTAAGTCTTAGCTAAGATCTCACACATATCACTCCTATGCTTTACAACAAAACCATGCACAGGAAGCCCAGGCACACAGAGGAAAGGTTAACTTGCTCAAGTCAAAGAGCTAGTAAAAGGTAGATAGAGCTGGAACTCAAACCCAGGTCTGTTTGGTCCCAGGCTGGGGGTCTTTCTGTACATTTTGCCATGCTGGGTCCCAGGATAAAGGCAGAGGCCTGTCAGGCCAGCTTCCTGGGCACAGAGACACTGACCCCTCCAACAACACGCACCCACTCTCCACTGTCGAGCAAGCCAAGAGACCCAAGCAAGGTCCCTCCCCTCTCTTGAGTCCAGCTTGTATCCCAGTGCTGAAGACCCCAGAACTCACCTGTTTTCCTGGAAGGCCAAAGCCTGGAGGCCCAGGGTCTCCCTTCTCCCCAGGAGGCCCAGGCAAGGCCACCATGGGGCTGTCCCCATCCTGCAGCTTGGACAGGGCTGGGCATGGCTCACAAGGCTCCCCCTGCCAAGCAAACACACAGGATTGGGGGGCCCCAGGCCAGGCTTGGAAGGGGCAACCTCTGCTGGGCAATGGATATCTCAGGAGAGATAGTGGGAGGACAGGTAAGAAAAGAAGAGAAGTCATCAGGGGTCTTGAACACCATGCTAAGGAGTCAAATGTTACCCTCAAGCAGTGGGGAGCATCAGAGGGTTTGAAGTAGAGCAAGATGAGTATGTGTTCGTGAAATCTGCCCTGGCTGCAGCGTGGAAACTGTCCCCAGACTCACCTTCTCCCCTTTGATGCCTGTGGGTCCCACTGGCCCTCGTGGCCCCTACATAATAAAAAGACATGTGTGATACCCAGCATCTGCCTGCACTGTCCTGAGTCACAGTCCAGGCCTATCTGGCCCTGGCAGCGGGCAGAACCTCCCACCTTGTCCTTCTCCCCAGAGCTGGTGCTGTGAAAGCGCACTTACCGGACTGCCAGCTGGCCCTGCCTCCCCGAAATCACCCTGGGAGCAAAGCAGAGAACCCTGGGTCAGAGCTGGGGGGCATTTGGGTGCCAGGTCAATCCCAAACCACAGACCACAAAAGGCAGCCCCTTGGAACCTGTAGACTACCTCTGTCATTTCCTGCCTAGGGAAACTGAGGCCCAGAAAGAGACAGCAATTTCCCCCAAGGTCCTCAGGGAAATCCGTGGCCAGCCTGTCTGTGTCCCCAGCCTCACTTCACAGAATCCCAGCCCCACACTCAGCCCTGACCCAACACACAAAGATCATTAATTCTCATATCCAACAGCTATTCACTGGACATCTATGTGCACTGGGCACTGGGCGGGGGGATGGTAGATAGCAGTTAAGAGCACAGGCAAACACGCCTTATGGAATTTACACACTTTGGGGGTCAAAAAGGACTTCTTAAATAACTAACTGCAAATAGCAATGAGCGCTGTAAAGGAAATAAACAACCAGAGGAGACAAAGTAGGCGGGGAGGCCACTCAGGGTGGTCAGAGGAGTGTTAACCACAATTATCATCAGAAAGATGAGAATAAGACCAGTCAATGAAAGAAGGGGGAGGGCAGACAGGAACAAAGTTCTAGACGGTGGGAGTTGCAAGTACAAAATCTAAGAGGTGGGAACAGTCTTGACATACTCCAAAATGGGAGGAGGGCAGTACATCTCAAGCATGTGGGAGCTGGGGAGGAGAACCATACGAAGCAGCAAAGGCAGGCAGGGGCCGCTCACCAGGGTCTTGCTAGGCATAGTGCAACTTCAGTACAAAGTCAAATCATGGAAAGATTTTCAGCAGGAAAATAATGTAACCCAAGTTCTTTTTACAAGGGTGTTGGGTGACAAAGTGACTGTTGATAAGCTGCTGTGGCGGCAGGCAGGCCAGACAGGGGGCTGCGACCACCATCCGGGTGAGATGATGGGACCTAGCCTAAGGTGGTGGTCATGCAGGTGGAGTGAGGCAGGGGAGCTTGGAGAGATGCTGCTGGCAGAACTGTCAGATGGAAAGGACAATGTGGACAAGGGAGGACTCAGGGTTGCCACCAGGTTTGGGGTTTGAGGAGCTGGGTAGGTGCCATTTCCTGAGATGGAAGAGCAGCTGTAGGGCGGGGGTGCCAAAGCTCCACTGGAGAAGTGACAGGTGTGGTTTGCCCGGAAGAGCTGAGTCTGAATATATTTCAGTGTTTCTCACACTTGAACACTTGGACACCCACAGACCCCCTCATCTGAGTAATGCTGCGTCGTAAGTTCAGCGCTCTCACTGGTCTCCAACACAATCCTAAACACAAATGGTGATATGGCACCGAAACTGAGTGACCCAGATGAATAGTGAAGGTTACAGACCCTGGAGCAGATTTCCTGAGCTCGAATCCCAGTTCTGCACCCAAACACGTGTGTGAACTTGAAGCACTGACTTGGCCTTTCTGCACGTGTTTCTTCATCCATAAAGTGGGAATAATGGAGTACCTACTCTAGAAGGTTTAGTAGGATGAAACAAGTTAATATATGTACAAGCACTTGGAGCGGTGCCTGGCATATGACAAGTGGTAAAGAAATGTTAAATATTATTTTATTGTAAGTGTTAAATATTATTATTTTATTATAAGGTAGTCTTGAATGTGCACTGTAGTCTTAAGTGTGCACTGATGAGTGTACCTCACTGTGGATTCACAGTGTGATCTCTTGTCTATATCAGCCCTAATCTCTGCCCAGCCCCATCTCCCACCTCCCTACCAAGAAGTCCTGGTGTCCCTGACATACAACCCAATCTCACCTTCTCTCCTTTCAGTCCTGTTGGTCCTGAAGGCCCAACTTTCCCCTGAAAAACAATCAAGTCACAGTCACAGCATCTCCACACTCCTGCCCCCACCTCTCTGCAAAGCTCCATGGGTCCTAGAGTCCACCCGGAAGGAGAAAGGTCAGCTCAGAATTGTACATCCCACAAGCCTGCAGGTAGCTAGACAATTGCATATCCCACAAGCCTGCAGGCAGCTAGACAGCTTGGTTACTTGTTGCACAGCTGGGCACTCGGAGGTCCTAAGAGGGAGTCCTGGGGCAAGTAACTGGAGCAGAGCAGGCATGGAAGGAGAGATCGGGCTGCAGGCCTGGGACACCTGCCTCAGGGTCTCCCTCCTGGTCTCTGCCTAGACATCTGGGCCTAAGGAGTCAGGGAAGCCACTGGAGTGGGAAGGATGAGCTGGACTGAGCTGGGCTAGGGAAGCAGTCACTCACCGGAAGGCCAGGCAAACCGAAGCCAGGGGGGCCCATGTCTCCTTTGGCCTCTTTAGAGGGCCCCAAATGCTGGGCCCCTACAGCTAGGCTGCAGGACAAGCAAGACTCCCCCTAGGGGAGGGAGAGAAGCGATGAGAAAGGCTCCCAGTTGTCAGAGGGTGGCAGCTAGGAGACTGGGGTGCCCTTACCTTCTCTCCTTTGAGGCCTTGGATGCCAGGGTCTCCCTGTAGGGAGAGAAAGGTTATGGGCTGAGACTGGGCATGTTGGGGTACCCCAAACTTCCTAGCCATATATGAGGACAAGGTCACATGCCACAAACCCTTCAAACCCCCAGAGGTGCAAGGTCAGCACCCCAGAGCCAGGGTTCATCAACCTACGTAAAAATGGAGGAAATCTGGCCAGGCTAAGCTACCCCACTGGAAAGTTCCTTCACATACCCGATCACCTTTTCGTCCAGCAGCTCCCAGGCCCTCCTGAAAGAAAGTGTCTATGAGGGAGTGAGGTGGGGGATCAGGCGGGACCCTAGCCCAGCCCTGCCATCTCCTCCCCTAGACCCCAGCCAATACCTAATCCCAAGCTGAGGGTACAGCTCACTAGAAGGGCTGGCTCTGCCCCAGCTTGGCCAAAAGGCATCTTAGAGCTTTCTCAAGAGCCCAGGGAGGTTGCCATGGAGACCAGGGGAGGCCTCTTAGCCCAGCCCTAAACTCTATGATTCAGTCTCTGCACCCACTGAACTAAGAGCCTAGACCCTCTGCCCACAGTCTCTCTCTATGGCCATGAGGAACACCCAGTTCCTCTGCCCAACTCCCCTCCATGATCATACTCCCAGGATTCTTGTGGGGTCCCTCAGTGGCCACCCTGAGCACTCACCCTGGCTGGTGCAGAATCCCCTGGTTCCCCCTTGGGCCCTGGCTTTCCAGGGAGGCCTACAAAGTTCTGAAGCCCTTCAGGCAGCATCGGGCACACTTCACAGGGGTCACCCTAGCAGAGAGGAGAGACCATGAGTGGACAAGGTGGGGCTGAGACCCTGGGGAAGACAAGGAGTGCTGGACATTGAAGGGACCGGTGCCCTACCCGCCAACGTCAAAGAGGACAGCAGGAGAGCTGGAGGTGCTTTCTGTTCGATCAACTCATTCATTCAACTTAGGACTCTTGGCCATCACAAACCGTAAGAAGTCACTGTATCCATTCACAGATGTGGAAACTTGGGCCAAGAGAGAAGCTAATGGACTTGCCATGTTCATAAATCATGTGAGTGGCCAAGGTGGGACTTGAGCCCAGCTGACTAGGTCCCAAGCCAGGCTCTTTATTTAGTAATCTCACATGCACACCATAGGAATGAAGAAGGGACAAGGGTCCCCTATCAGCCCTTACTCTACAGTGGCCCCTTCTCCTGCCAGCTTCCTAAGGCCCAAAGCAGACGTACCTGAATGCCAGGCAAACCCTGGGCTCCAGGCTCTCCCTGTAAGTCAGAAAAGGCAGACTGGGCCACAGCTGCCCAAGCCAACTGCCCCACTGGCAGGCCTGGTCTGGGGTGGAGTGTCCACCAGTCCAAACTCAGGAGAGCTCCCCAGGGAGACTCTGAGGGGCAGAGAGGCAGGGGTCAAAGTCACCATCCCTGACAGAAGCAATGGCAAGCCAGGGCTACTGCCAGTCCCTTAGCCCAGGGCTGTGCCTTTAAGCACTTGGGGACTGGCAGAGCCTGGTGGTTTTGGGGGTATATGGGAGTAGGCTGCTGGCTAATGGAAGTGTTGGTGGGGGGTCAGACAGGTGAAAGTAAGGCTGGAGACTCACCTGGGGCCCCTGGGCTCCCATTCCTGGTGGCCCAGGTTCTCCCTGAAGAGGCATAAGGACAATTGTTGGCTTGAAACTCCCCACTCACCCTTGACCTCTTCCTTAGCCCCTTCTCCTTAACCTTCTCCCCTTCTACCTTCTCCCTTCTCTGTAGCTGATCTCATTCCCCACTTCAGGCCCACTGCCCCCATGGGTCTCCCCAGCCCACCCTCACCCACACATACCTGTATGCCCTTTAGTCCAGGGGGTCCTTGAACTCCTGGTAGGCCAGGTTGGCCCTAAAAGACACAGATGGCCCATGGGTCCCGCAGGAGAAAGAAGGCAGGAGGGACAGAAGGTCAAGCCCAGGCTGGGAAGGACCAGAGGGCTGGCACTTGGGAACTCACCGGTTTACCAGGCCGGCCCACACCTTCCAGGCCTGGCTCTCCTTTGGGACCCGGCTTCCCAGGCAGCCCAGCCATGTCCGTCATCGCCCCCTGCAGGCTGGGGCAGGCAGTGCATCCATCACCCTGGTCAGAGATGGGCACATGAGCCGGTGAGCCAGGGCTGGCAGCCAGGCCAGGAGGAGGCATCAGAAAAGGGGTCCTAGTACCCTTCTGAAAGCTCTGCTCCTCTGCTGCCCCCTCAGCCTGGGAAAGCAAAATAGTAGCTGACACTCCTAGGTCTTCTCCCTGCCTTGGAGAAGAGCTGAGACGCCTCGCTCCACCCAGTGATTCCGGCATCCTGTAAAACCCACAGCTTGACTCCACAGTTCCTTGCTTCATTAGCACTCGGCCTAATTTCTTTTTGTTCATGCAAAAAATTGCTCCCTGCCTGACTGACCTTTTCCCCTTTCGGCCCCATGGGGCCCCGCACTCCAGGCTCTCCTGACAGTCCCGGCTGCCCCATGGTGCCTGGCGTTCCAGGATCTCCAGGATTCCCAGCAACACCCTGTAAGGAGTAAGGTTCAAGGAGGGCAGAGGTGACTCCGCTGGGGGCAGACCGCCTCTTGGGACCTTCAGATATTCAGAGCCCTTTGCTGGGGGTGGGGGCCAGGCAGGGAGTGGAGAGTGGGCACAGGGCAATCAGGAGAAGGTGATGGGGGGGTATCTGAGAGGATGTGGTGCCCACGGAGGCTCTCTCACCTTCTGCCCCTTCAGTCCCCGCTCTCCGGCCTTGCCCTGGGGAGAAAGCACTTCCAGTACCCACCCACTCACACAAGACACCCCAAAGTGCCTGGCACTGTGTTAGACCCAGGGAACACCACAGTACACAAAATGGGCCTGAATCTCTGCTCTCATTCTAGGGAAGCGATACTGAATAGATTAAGAAAAGAGGCTTGAGCCAGAGTCCTGCCTGGGTGACCCTGGGCAAGTCACTCAACCTATCTGTGCCTTGATTTCCTCATCTGTCAAATGGGAATGATAAAAATAGCACAGGCTTCTAGCCGGCAGAGCCCCTGTGAGATCAGAGGACCTCACACACGTGGAGCGGCACAGGCACCCGGTGTATACAGAAATAACAGCAAGCACCACAGTGGTGACTCTCACCTCCTGAGGCCCGCTGGGTGCTGCTAAGTCTTAGCTAAGATCTCACACATATCACTCCTATGCTTTACAACAAAACCATGCACAGGAAGCCCAGGCACACAGAGGAAAGGTTAACTTGCTCAAGTCAAAGAGCTAGTAAAAGGTAGATAGAGCTGGAACTCAAACCCAGGTCTGTTTGGTCCCAGGCTGGGGGTCTTTCTGTACATTTTGCCATGCTGGGTCCCAGGATAAAGGCAGAGGCCTGTCAGGCCAGCTTCCTGGGCACAGAGACACTGACCCCTCCAACAACACGCACCCACTCTCCACTGTCGAGCAAGCCAAGAGACCCAAGCAAGGTCCCTCCCCTCTCTTGAGTCCAGCTTGTATCCCAGTGCTGAAGACCCCAGAACTCACCTGTTTTCCTGGAAGGCCAAAGCCTGGAGGCCCAGGGTCTCCCTTCTCCCCAGGAGGCCCAGGCAAGGCCACCATGGGGCTGTCCCCATCCTGCAGCTTGGACAGGGCTGGGCATGGCTCACAAGGCTCCCCCTGCCAAGCAAACACACAGGATTGGGGGGCCCCAGGCCAGGCTTGGAAGGGGCAACCTCTGCTGGGCAATGGATATCTCAGGAGAGATAGTGGGAGGACAGGTAAGAAAAGAAGAGAAGTCATCAGGGGTCTTGAACACCATGCTAAGGAGTCAAATGTTACCCTCAAGCAGTGGGGAGCATCAGAGGGTTTGAAGTAGAGCAAGATGAGTATGTGTTCGTGAAATCTGCCCTGGCTGCAGCGTGGAAACTGTCCCCAGACTCACCTTCTCCCCTTTGATGCCTGTGGGTCCCACTGGCCCTCGTGGCCCCTACATAATAAAAAGACATGTGTGATACCCAGCATCTGCCTGCACTGTCCTGAGTCACAGTCCAGGCCTATCTGGCCCTGGCAGCGGGCAGAACCTCCCACCTTGTCCTTCTCCCCAGAGCTGGTGCTGTGAAAGCGCACTTACCGGACTGCCAGCTGGCCCTGCCTCCCCGAAATCACCCTGGGAGCAAAGCAGAGAACCCTGGGTCAGAGCTGGGGGGCATTTGGGTGCCAGGTCAATCCCAAACCACAGACCACAAAAGGCAGCCCCTTGGAACCTGTAGACTACCTCTGTCATTTCCTGCCTAGGGAAACTGAGGCCCAGAAAGAGACAGCAATTTCCCCCAAGGTCCTCAGGGAAATCCGTGGCCAGCCTGTCTGTGTCCCCAGCCTCACTTCACAGAATCCCAGCCCCACACTCAGCCCTGACCCAACACACAAAGATCATTAATTCTCATATCCAACAGCTATTCACTGGACATCTATGTGCACTGGGCACTGGGCGGGGGGATGGTAGATAGCAGTTAAGAGCACAGGCAAACACGCCTTATGGAATTTACACACTTTGGGGGTCAAAAAGGACTTCTTAAATAACTAACTGCAAATAGCAATGAGCGCTGTAAAGGAAATAAACAACCAGAGGAGACAAAGTAGGCGGGGAGGCCACTCAGGGTGGTCAGAGGAGTGTTAACCACAATTATCATCAGAAAGATGAGAATAAGACCAGTCAATGAAAGAAGGGGGAGGGCAGACAGGAACAAAGTTCTAGACGGTGGGAGTTGCAAGTACAAAATCTAAGAGGTGGGAACAGTCTTGACATACTCCAAAATGGGAGGAGGGCAGTACATCTCAAGCATGTGGGAGCTGGGGAGGAGAACCATACGAAGCAGCAAAGGCAGGCAGGGGCCGCTCACCAGGGTCTTGCTAGGCATAGTGCAACTTCAGTACAAAGTCAAATCATGGAAAGATTTTCAGCAGGAAAATAATGTAACCCAAGTTCTTTTTACAAGGGTGTTGGGTGACAAAGTGACTGTTGATAAGCTGCTGTGGCGGCAGGCAGGCCAGACAGGGGGCTGCGACCACCATCCGGGTGAGATGATGGGACCTAGCCTAAGGTGGTGGTCATGCAGGTGGAGTGAGGCAGGGGAGCTTGGAGAGATGCTGCTGGCAGAACTGTCAGATGGAAAGGACAATGTGGACAAGGGAGGACTCAGGGTTGCCACCAGGTTTGGGGTTTGAGGAGCTGGGTAGGTGCCATTTCCTGAGATGGAAGAGCAGCTGTAGGGCGGGGGTGCCAAAGCTCCACTGGAGAAGTGACAGGTGTGGTTTGCCCGGAAGAGCTGAGTCTGAATATATTTCAGTGTTTCTCACACTTGAACACTTGGACACCCACAGACCCCCTCATCTGAGTAATGCTGCGTCGTAAGTTCAGCGCTCTCACTGGTCTCCAACACAATCCTAAACACAAATGGTGATATGGCACCGAAACTGAGTGACCCAGATGAATAGTGAAGGTTACAGACCCTGGAGCAGATTTCCTGAGCTCGAATCCCAGTTCTGCACCCAAACACGTGTGTGAACTTGAAGCACTGACTTGGCCTTTCTGCACGTGTTTCTTCATCCATAAAGTGGGAATAATGGAGTACCTACTCTAGAAGGTTTAGTAGGATGAAACAAGTTAATATATGTACAAGCACTTGGAGCGGTGCCTGGCATATGACAAGTGGTAAAGAAATGTTAAATATTATTTTATTGTAAGTGTTAAATATTATTATTTTATTATAAGGTAGTCTTGAATGTGCACTGTAGTCTTAAGTGTGCACTGATGAGTGTACCTCACTGTGGATTCACAGTGTGATCTCTTGTCTATATCAGCCCTAATCTCTGCCCAGCCCCATCTCCCACCTCCCTACCAAGAAGTCCTGGTGTCCCTGACATACAACCCAATCTCACCTTCTCTCCTTTCAGTCCTGTTGGTCCTGAAGGCCCAACTTTCCCCTGAAAAACAATCAAGTCACAGTCACAGCATCTCCACACTCCTGCCCCCACCTCTCTGCAAAGCTCCATGGGTCCTAGAGTCCACCCGGAAGGAGAAAGGTCAGCTCAGAATTGTACATCCCACAAGCCTGCAGGTAGCTAGACAATTGCATATCCCACAAGCCTGCAGGCAGCTAGACAGCTTGGTTACTTGTTGCACAGCTGGGCACTCGGAGGTCCTAAGAGGGAGTCCTGGGGCAAGTAACTGGAGCAGAGCAGGCATGGAAGGAGAGATCGGGCTGCAGGCCTGGGACACCTGCCTCAGGGTCTCCCTCCTGGTCTCTGCCTAGACATCTGGGCCTAAGGAGTCAGGGAAGCCACTGGAGTGGGAAGGATGAGCTGGACTGAGCTGGGCTAGGGAAGCAGTCACTCACCGGAAGGCCAGGCAAACCGAAGCCAGGGGGGCCCATGTCTCCTTTGGCCTCTTTAGAGGGCCCCAAATGCTGGGCCCCTACAGCTAGGCTGCAGGACAAGCAAGACTCCCCCTAGGGGAGGGAGAGAAGCGATGAGAAAGGCTCCCAGTTGTCAGAGGGTGGCAGCTAGGAGACTGGGGTGCCCTTACCTTCTCTCCTTTGAGGCCTTGGATGCCAGGGTCTCCCTGTAGGGAGAGAAAGGTTATGGGCTGAGACTGGGCATGTTGGGGTACCCCAAACTTCCTAGCCATATATGAGGACAAGGTCACATGCCACAAACCCTTCAAACCCCCAGAGGTGCAAGGTCAGCACCCCAGAGCCAGGGTTCATCAACCTACGTAAAAATGGAGGAAATCTGGCCAGGCTAAGCTACCCCACTGGAAAGTTCCTTCACATACCCGATCACCTTTTCGTCCAGCAGCTCCCAGGCCCTCCTGAAAGAAAGTGTCTATGAGGGAGTGAGGTGGGGGATCAGGCGGGACCCTAGCCCAGCCCTGCCATCTCCTCCCCTAGACCCCAGCCAATACCTAATCCCAAGCTGAGGGTACAGCTCACTAGAAGGGCTGGCTCTGCCCCAGCTTGGCCAAAAGGCATCTTAGAGCTTTCTCAAGAGCCCAGGGAGGTTGCCATGGAGACCAGGGGAGGCCTCTTAGCCCAGCCCTAAACTCTATGATTCAGTCTCTGCACCCACTGAACTAAGAGCCTAGACCCTCTGCCCACAGTCTCTCTCTATGGCCATGAGGAACACCCAGTTCCTCTGCCCAACTCCCCTCCATGATCATACTCCCAGGATTCTTGTGGGGTCCCTCAGTGGCCACCCTGAGCACTCACCCTGGCTGGTGCAGAATCCCCTGGTTCCCCCTTGGGCCCTGGCTTTCCAGGGAGGCCTACAAAGTTCTGAAGCCCTTCAGGCAGCATCGGGCACACTTCACAGGGGTCACCCTAGCAGAGAGGAGAGACCATGAGTGGACAAGGTGGGGCTGAGACCCTGGGGAAGACAAGGAGTGCTGGACATTGAAGGGACCGGTGCCCTACCCGCCAACGTCAAAGAGGACAGCAGGAGAGCTGGAGGTGCTTTCTGTTCGATCAACTCATTCATTCAACTTAGGACTCTTGGCCATCACAAACCGTAAGAAGTCACTGTATCCATTCACAGATGTGGAAACTTGGGCCAAGAGAGAAGCTAATGGACTTGCCATGTTCATAAATCATGTGAGTGGCCAAGGTGGGACTTGAGCCCAGCTGACTAGGTCCCAAGCCAGGCTCTTTATTTAGTAATCTCACATGCACACCATAGGAATGAAGAAGGGACAAGGGTCCCCGGAGGAGGCCCAGCATCCCTGGGCCCAGAGCTCTCGATACTCAGTGTCCCCTTCAGAGAGGAGCTCCCACTCCCACCCCAACGTGGAACAACCCAGCCTGGGACTCACCTTCTCTCCCTTCAGTCCTGGCACCCCTGGCTTTCCCTGTTGGAGAAGAAGCAGGTGGGTGTTAGTGCCAGGGCAGAGGGACTGGTATGCTGGGGAGACCTGAGGACCTAGCGCCCCTCCCTCTGGAGGCCTTGGGAGAGCTGACCTGGGCACGGTGGGGAACAGCGCCCCACCCCGCTACCGACCAGACTGGGGTCACTCACAGGTTTCCCTCCAGGACCTTCCTTTCCTGGCACCCCGGAGCTGCCCTGTGGTCAGAAGAAGGGTTAAGAAGGAGACTCCTGGCTGGGACTGGCTCATTCACCCCTTCCGTATCCAGTCCTCTCCCTGGATGGCAGGACCATCTCTGCCAAGTCTCCCATCTCCTCTTGGTCTGTTTGGTCAGCAGACACTCCCTTCCTGATACCCATCCTTCTCCATGTCTAAACCCAAGTCCTTCTGGTTGAAAAGGAAGGGAGCATGTGAGGCATCTGTGCACACTTCCCCAGTGTGGCAGATTGGGAGGAATCTGGGTGACCCCAGAGGAACCACAGCAGGTAGATAGACAGACAGGTTTTCAGGGCTTCCTGCTCATCAAGGCACCAGGCCCTAACATGAGCTTCAGCCATCCAGTCAAGGGTACTCTGGTCATTCCTAGACTTGGGCCTGCCTGGAACCCAGGCCAAGGCTCCCACATCAGCAAGCACTGGGCTGGAAATATTCCCCACCAAGGGGCCTGGCTGAGCCAAGCCCAGACTCCTTCTCTGAAGGCCTGGCCTCTTCCCCTGCACTGCCACTGCTCCGGCTGCCCCCAGCTCCGTCTCCTCTCTTCCCGCTAAGCAGGGAGCTCCCTGCTGTGCCCACAGTCCTGTCTGTGCTTACCTTGTCTCCCTTAGGTCCTGGTGGGCCACCCGGGTCCCCCTGAGGGCAGAAAGAGGATCAGGTAGAGGCTTCCCGAGGCCTCAAATTATAGTGAGATATGCTCTAGCCCCTTCCCCCAACCAGGACGTCTGGGACTGAGCCTTATCTCCCCACCCCTGCCCAGCAGGAGAAGGGCACGCTGAAGAAAGGATGGCAGGAAGGACAAGGGTACTCACCGGGGTCCCAGGAAGTCCTGCCCCAGGGGGCCCAGGGAGGCCAGGGGGCCCAGGCTCTCCTGCCAGCCCTTCAGGCCCGACAAAGCCAGGGTCTCCCTGGCACAGACGTAAGGCGATCATGAGAGAGCTGTCACCTCAGCCCCACAACCCACTCCCCACCCCACAGACACCCACAACTCACCTTCTGCCCTTTGGGCCCCATGACGCAGATCTCACCTGGCCGGCCCTGTGGGGAGGGAGGATGTAAGAACACCCCAAGGCCAGGTACCCCTGAGGCAGTAGCCCACTGCTGGGACCAGTCCATACCCACCTACCCAAGCTCACCACCCCTCCCCAAAGCCAGACTCCAACCCAGCACCCGAAGGTCATCAAATGTCAACCTCAGGGCACTAGAGGTCGGGGCATCTTAGGCTGGGAGTAGGAAGCCTGGACTCAGGCCCTTTTACACCCGCTCCTTGCTACGCCTGCTGAGGCACAGCCCTCCCCGCCCTGGGCCTCTGTTCTGTCTGAGCGAAGGACGCAGTTTGGATTCCAGCCTTTCAAGATCACATGCTGAGGGAAGTGGGGGTGTGGTAGGGACAGGTCCCAAGCACCATACATCTCGGCCTGGCTTTCCCGGCGAGCCCTTGATGCCTCCGTCTCCCTTCTCGCCTTTCTGGCCCTAGGGAAGCAAGAGGCAAAGCGAGCAGGGTTAGGGACAGGGGCTGGAGGGACCGCGGCAGCTCCATCTCAGGGAGACGCAGCTGTTTTCTAGGCCCCTAGCCTCTGCCTCTCTTGAGATGAAAGGGCTTCAGTCACTACAGGAGGGTAGGCAACAGGAGGAACTTCCAATCCACCGCCACTCACTCAGGGAGTCTGTGCCATTTCCCTCTAGGTTTGGTGGGAATATGGACGAGGCAGGGTGCTTGGGGGGATGGAAGGTGCTGCCGGCTCTGTGCCCAATGACCCCATCCTCTTAGGAGACTTCAGATACCTCCCTCCTCGTGTGTGCAGGGCCCACAGACCTCCCTGGCGCCCGCCCCTCCAAATCCAGGCCCCTTACCTTCTGGCCTGTGGAGCCTGGGGGTCCTGAGGGTCCCTGAGGTAAGAAGGGGACCCAGAAGGAGGGATGAGGACAGGAGAGCGAGACCGGGCCGGGACCCCCCTGCCCCTGCCCTATCCCTGGTCCCACACTCACCAAGGCTCCTGACTCCCCCTTCTCTCCCTTCAGGCCTTCTGCACACTGGACAAGAAGACAAGGTGTTGAGAGGGGCCCAGGGCTACGCCATGGGCTGCCAAGGGTACAGGCCATTACCCTGAGGCTGACCCCACATTGGCCCTGAAGCAAGACTCGCCTCCAGGTCTTACCTGAAGTGGGGCATCTGGAGAGATTCGGACACAGTCATTGCCCTGCAGGGAGGGAACAAGGGATCAGGGTGGGGCCCTCTTTTGAGGACAGGCCCAGGAATCCCAGTCTCAGGTGCTCTGAGAAAATAGAGGTTTCCATACATACACTAACCCCTAGAAAGACCCTGGCGGTCAACCCCCAGTGGGGCCAGGCTGTAGGTTTCTGGCTGAAATGATGGGATAGTGCCTCATACCCCAGCCCACCCCCAGGCCACAGCTGGGAAAGGTCCTGCAGCGGGCATGGCTGGGGCACTTACCCGGGCTCCCTTCTCTCCCTTGGGGCCAGATGGGCCAGGCAGGCCCCGTTCCCCTTTCCCTCCCTGTGGAGGAGACCAAAAAGGGAGCTGGGACCACGGAGGGCACATGGGAACCTCGAGGAAGCTCTCCCCGATCTGGTCTCCACCCTCCACCACACATGGGTGCACAGATGAGCACTGCCCTGCCCCAAGCCCCCGCCACTCCGGCAGCATATGGATTCCATACACCTCACCCACATGCCCCTCCTACCCCAAAAGGCTGTATGTTTTTTACTGGAAAAAAGTTGATATACAATAGTATATTGGTTTCAGTGAACATAGTGACTCGATAGTGCAGATCGTTGCCTCGGGAAGTGAAGTTACCCCATTACCATACTAAGATATTACAATATTATTGGTTATATCTTACATGTCATACTTCTATTTCTATGGCTAATATATCTTATAATTTATAGTGTGCACCTCCTTATCCCCTCCACCTATTTCACCCATCCCCAACCCTCCCCAAAAGGCTATATTTCACAAATCTGTAGTCTCACCTACAGGGTACTTCCCTCACACACCAACACAAGCACGCTACCTCACATGCTGCACACCCAGGGACACATGGACACATGTGCATGGGCACATTTGTGGAGTGGCAGAAACCTATGATGGTGAGTGTCAGACTATCTGAGTTCAAATCCTACCCCCACCACTTACTGGCCTGTAACTCAGGGCAAGTCATATGACCTCTCTGAGCCTCAGTTTCTTCATCACTGAAATGGGATTCCTGTCCGCAGCTACCTCAAGGGGTTGTGGTAAGGAAGAAATTGGGTGTGGTGGGTGAAGTGCCCAGCACAGAGCACTCAGTCAGCACTACATGAAGGTGGGCCCAAGAATAAAACTATCTCCACCGGCACAAGCCCACCACCTCACCTGTGCACCTGTGCCGCCAACCCCATCTGCATCCCGGCAGGCCCACAGGTACATGGGCGAGCTCCCCGCGCTACAGTGGGCTACACACGTGCAAAGCTGCGTCCCAGAGATGTGTGTAACCACTCCCACACACAATCACTCCAACATACCCAGTAACACATCTGGGCACAGTGGGGCCTCAGTTTTCATGAAGCAAAATGATAGTGCCCACCCCTCAGGATGCGGAGGGTGTGGAGGAAGGTAAGAGATGTGTACATGTGTGGTCCTAGGCCTGATGCACAGTAGGGCCTTAGAAAAGGGCAGTTCTTAGCATCCTTACGCACACACCCACCCCTACTCCCTCCAAGACACACACACCCCTAATCACCCTCCCCACACTCATACAAGCTCCGGGAACACACAGCCATGATATAAACACACAGCCATGGGTCACATGCTGTGGGATGGGCTGGGCCCACCGAAGAGGGCAGGAGTGTCCTGTTCTCCACTTGAGGCTCACCTTGGGGCCAGAGGGACCAATTGTGACCTGGGGGGACAGAGAAGAGAGCATTATACCTCAGGGAGGGAGAGTAAACTGGGGCACAGAGAGGGTAAGTGATTTAGCCAGGGTCACACAGCATGGTGACAGGACCAACAGCCTGAATCCCAGCGCCTGCTCTGCCTCACAGTCCAACAAGCCTGCTTTGCATCCTCATGCTGTCAGACTTGTGGAAGGGTCTGACCTGCCTTACGTAACCTGCCTGGCTTCGGATAGCTCCACCCCCCAGTTGTTAGGATTCCTGATCGCTCGGTTGCCATGGTAACCCCTGCACATCTGGGGACCACCAGCCTTACCAGATTTGGTAGGGGTTTGGATAGGAAGAGGGGCAGGCAGCTGAGGGGTATTTTCCAATGTTCCCCAAGACCAGGGGTTTGGAGCTGAGGGGACTCAGGGTTGTACCCTTTGTGGACCAATGTGGAATGTCAAGTCAGAATGTCAGGTGGTGGGAACGTGGTACTGGTGCTGCCCACAGGAGAAGCTAAGTTGGGTACCGGCTGGGCTTGCACTGAGCTCCTGTCCCTTGTCCTTCTGGACCCCTGGAGGGAGGGCTGGGCCAGGGCCAGCTAGGGACACATAGGAGGTGAGGTTCTGAGCCAACAAGTGCCTTGGGGGCCGGCCAGCCCTTCCCCTTCTCTAGGGACCCAAGATAATTCGGGAAGCCTCCCCGTAGAGCAGGCCTGAGTCCCTGTGGGTGCAAAGCTGGGATCGGCCACCAAGGTCCTGGGCCTGGCAGCCACCACTGCCCCCATTCCACCCTGGACCCTAATACATCGCCCAGATCACAGGGCATGAGGCTTCCTTCCACACAGCCCTGGCTTGGCAGGGATGCAGGTGGGGGTAAGCCCAGCTCTGGCGAATGGACAGGAAGGGAGTGTGAAAGTGCACAAAGACCCCTTTGTCCTTACTCAGGAAGCTGCCAGGCCAACTTCCAGCCCACCCCCAGCCCCCACCCGCCTCACCCTGCACACCCTCAGTCCACTCACATTGCTCTCCTGGGCACCATGGACACAGGGTGGGCACTGAAAGGGAAGGACAGGCCAGCAGGTCAGTTCTGTTGGCCCAGGACCAGGCCCCTCCACCCTATTCCCTCCACCTCATATATACACCAAGCACACAGAACATCACACATGTCCTGAGTAGATTCTGAAGGAGCAGAAAGATAGGAATCCTATCAAACAAACCCATCAACCCAGAGCCAAGCCACTTCTCCAATGAGGAAACTGAAGCCCAGAGAGGACAGCAATGGGCTCTGGGTCACACAGCATGTAGTAGCAGTAGGAGGCCCAGGATCTGGGGTCCCATGGCCAAGGCCTGGGCCTTCCCCATGGTGCCCGTGACCATTTGCTGCCAAAGTGGTGGGAGTATCCAAGGCTAACCCCACCCCCAAGCTCCCCCCTTCCCCACCAGCCAAGGAGAGGCAGCAGACAGACAGGGCCCAATGTCAGTTCCCCAAGAATGCTGGGAGCTGTGTCATCATCCTACATCCCACACCCTCAAGGCTCCAGGGCCCCAAAGCCTTGAGCAAAGGGTTTATGCTGGCACCTCCTCAACCAAGCTCTTTCCGCCACTCTACAGGAGGCTCACCTCATTGGCTGCTGTCTCCTGATGGGCCTGGGGAGTCAGAAGGCATGGGGATGGGCAGGGAACAGAGGGGATGATGCACTGTTCCCAGCACCCTTCCCCAAGAACCACCAGGAGTGGGTGCCCCAGCTAGTGCCTGGTGCTATGCCTGTCCCCCCACTCATCCTTCCTTCTCGGAGCTGCCCCCTACACAGCCTAAGCTCTGACCAGGTGAGACGAGAGTGAGGGTAGACTGCCTTATTCAAGGGGTTCACAGAGGGCATAGAGAGCAGTCAGAGGGCGCTGTGGGCTCCTCCCACCGACCACCATCTCTACCTTCGTTACCCTTTCTTCCTTCTGGCTGATTCGTCCAGTCAGCTGGGCATCCACCTGGGCACACAGAACAAAGGGGAACTCTTGAGGAAGGGGAAGTTCTGCAGCTCCACTGGAAAGGGGCACCCAGGCAGGGGCCTAGACCCTAGGTGCCCCATCAGCCTGATAGTTGACACCTCCCAGAACATCAAGAACTCAGGCCCCTGGCACCCCCATAAGCCCCGTCCTTTTCCCCCCACCCACGTGATGTCAGAGAAAACAAGACTATGAATCAATGGGATCCTGTGTTCCTGCAGCCAAAGGTTAGGCACGATGCCCAGTGGGCAGGGAGGCTGCCCAACCAGGGGTGGGATCAAGGAGGAATTGGGCTTCCCTGGCACCCTAAAGAACCTGAGAGTGGGCAGGGCATCTGGCCATGGTGCTGGGCATAGCACCGGCGTGGCACTGGCCAGGGCTGGAACCAGGACAGCAAGCAAGCCCCGAGGGAAGCAGTGAGGGCTGGCCTCTGACCCCAGGTACCCCTGTCCTGGTGAAACTGCCTTTGGGTGCAGTCCTGGTCTTGCCCCCAGCAGAAGGGGCTGGGGTGGCAGCAGTGAGCATCTGGGGAGTACCAGAATGCAACAGACAGGCAGGCACAGGTCACCTGGTGGGCTGTCTGCCTCCCTGCTTCCTACAGGACTGGTGCCAAGTAGGTAGACTGCCAGGCTCTCCCTACCCAGGCACAACTGACCCTGTGGCAGACCCTGTGGTCAGCTGCGGGAGAGGTGATCTCACTCATGCCTACCTGTGCCCATGTCTGCCTGCCCTGCCCACCCACCTTGCTGTTTTGAGGCTCCTCCAGGCAGAAGCAGCGGGTATAGACTTTGCCTTCAGTCTGTGGATTGATCTCGATGAGCTCATTGCTCTGGGTGTCCCGGCGGGCCTTGGAGGTCTCTGGGGGACACTGCCCAGCATGGGGAAAGGGCTGGAGTCAGTATAGAGGACAGATCCCCCTCACCCCTTCATGCCTAAGGTCTCTAGGCATCCCCTTCCAGCACCCCCATCTTCAGCACACTGTGCCCTGGGCAACACCCCAAACCCCTTGCTGTGCTGGGGTTGGGCCACTCACCCCTGCCGGTAAAATCTCACAGCAGCCCTCCTCCAGCACGAGCTCTGGGTCACAGTAGATGTGTGCCTGCTGGAGGTCAAACTGCAGGGGACACACAAGTCAGTTTCATCTCATTTTATCAGATAGTTCTGTGACCTGGCCTCCAGGACAGCCCTGCCCAAGATTCACCCTCAGAGTGTTTCCAGTCTGGCCTGGGACGCCATCAAGGATACAGCTGTCACCAAAAGCAAAACAAAACTGCACGTGGGGGAAAGAGGGAGAGTGGGGAGAAATATTCACTTTGGCCCAGGGGAACAAGGGTGGAGAAGGTTCCAGTCGAGCTGGGCCTTTATTCCACAGATGGGCATGCGCAGAAAAGCATTCCAGGTGGCTGGCAGCAGCACAGGCAAGGGCAGAGGAGTGGAAGCACTAGGTGAGGTGGACGACTAGGCTGGACCTGACCAGAGCAGAGCTGCCTGGAGATGTAAAGGAAGACGAGACTGTAGACGTTTATAGGGATCAGACCATGAAAGGCCTTGAATGCCAGGTAAACATGTCCAGGCTACATCTGGAGGATGATTGGGAACCACGAGAGGATTCTGAGCAAGGGAAGGACCTGGTCAGATCCAGATTCCGGGGAGCTTTCAGGGTCCCAGAAGGTAGGAGCTGAGGCCACGGCCCAACCTAGCACCCACCGAGACGGGTTTGCCCTGCTCAGCATCCAAGCCCAGGAAGACATGGCCCACAGGCCGCATGGGTCGCCGGGGCCCCAGGGGCTGGGAAGAAGCTGAGGTGCAGTCCATGTGCACAGAGGCCACGCGTTCAGCCACACTTAACACCAGCTTGTGCCAACGCAGGTCGAAGAGCTGGGGCACCAGGAAGATGCAGGACACAAAGTCACCATCTTGGCCCCGGGCCCGGAACTCCAGGCTCCGATCTTGGCTATTGACTTCCAGGGAGATCTGTGTGGAGTTGGGAAAGGAGCAGAATAGAAAATTAGAGCCCCAGAGCCACAGCATGGCAAAGTTAAGCACTTTCAAGGTCACTTCACAGGAGGGGAAATTGAGGCAAGGCAAGGGAAGAAAGGTGGCTGGTGTCACAGAGCAGTATTCCTGAGAGAATGGGATACATGCAGGTGGGGTGGGCACCAGATGGAACAAGCAGTCATACACAGGGACAGAAGCTGGGCTGAACTGGCACTGCTCGACTGCCCGGGAGCAATGGGTTTGGAAGAGGGGGCCAGGCTCACCTGTGGATACCCATCTCCATCGGTCACTTGAAACAAGTACCACGTGTTCTGGCGGGTGTGTTTCTTCAGCAATAGTGTGAGCACCAGAGCAAACTCATTGGGGAGGCCCTGAGGGAACACCCGCCTGTGGGTGGAGCAGAGAGGGCACCCTGAGACTCAGGTGAGAGCCCCGTGTTGCCCGCCCTGAGCCCTCAGGACTGCTGAGCCCACACCAGACAGCCACCGGCCCATGCCTCCACACTGACACACACACACACACACATCTATTCATTCCACAGCCATGTACTGAGTGCCTACCATGTGCCAGGTGTGGGTCTGGCTACTGGGGCTAACAGTGGTGAAAACATAGCAAAGGTGCTTGCCCCCATGAGCCTGCAAGACTGAGCGGGGTGGACTGGGAAGTAAAACCCTAAACAAAGAATCCCCAGAATGCCTAGTTCGCTAGTTCATTACAATTGTGGTAAATGCTTTGAAGGAATCCAGGATGCCCTGGAATCCAGAATAACCAGGACTGGAGTAGGAGGAGAGATGCTGAAAAAAGATTGAAAGAGTTCAGCATGACAGGAGCAACAGGGAAGAGGAGCATTTGGGGAGGTAAGCTGAAGAGGGAAGCGGAGGCCACACCTGCCAGGTACTTGTGGGTGTTTGGATTTCACACATGTGGGTGCTTGTGCACATGTGCACGCACATGCACACACACACACAACTCTTGTCAAGTTCCCACCTCCACCCTGGGGTCTTCACAGTGCCTAAAAGCTATAGGCCTGGGGAGGAGCGAGTCTGTATTCCCTACTCTGGACCTTCAGCCAAACCCTACCTTGGGGCTGCCTTCACCCTTGCCTTCCTGTCCTGGCTGCCCTGGGAGCCAGGAGGATCTCCAGTGTGCAGATGGGAAGCCTAAGGCCCAGGGACTGAGGCCCGGCCCAAGGCCACTGCGAGCCAGAAGAGGGAGGGACAGAGGGTAAGCCTGACAGGTACCTCCTCTCTGTTCACACTGTAAGTCCCCAAAGTGGAGACCAGGCCAACTCCCAGCAAGGGGTGGGATAAAATGACCTACAGGTACACCTCCAGAGTGGCTGGGGACTGTGGCTGAGGCAAGTGTGGATCCCCAGTGGTCACCCTCGGGCCTTTACCGTGTGGGCTGGCTGAGTGGGGCTGCCCCCAGTCTCAGGATGAGAGGCCCCTTGGGGTTGCGGATCTTCTTGATGGCAGATGTCTTCATAAGGCTGAGTCGGCGGATGAGATTGAAGCCTTTGGGGGTGACATCAGATGAAGAGCTCAGTTGGGCAGGTGAGGAGGGGCACAGTCACCCCAGGAAGATGGTGGTAGGGGGAATAGCAGGATGAGATGGGCACTCACCAGTCACATTGGTTGATAAGTGGCTTCTGTGTTCCAACTTGAGTCCTTCTTGCTGTGAAGGTGGGCATTGCTCACCTAGAAAAGAGTTGGCAGTGGGGCACTGAGTGGCTCCAGCCGAGGGAGCTGCACAGCCAGGCACTCGGGGAGCCTGGGGAGGAGCGAGTCTGCATTCCCCACTGTGGACCTTCAGCCAGACCCTGCCTTGGGGCTGCCTTCGCCCTTGCCTTCCTGTCCTGGCTGCCCTGGGAGCCAGGAGGATCTCCAGTGTGCAGATGGGAAGCCTAAGGCCCAGGGACTGAGGCCCGGCCCAAGGTCACTGAGTTCACAGCAGAGCAGGACCAGAATTCCTAGAACCCAGACCCTCAAGACCCTGAGGCAAGGGCCATGCCAGCAAGAGAGAAAAAGGGAAAAAACTGGGTAGCCCTAGAGCTCAGATGGGGTGGGGAGCTGTGTATACATGTGCTCCCTCCATGATATACACCTAAGTGGGGGGCAGAGGAGCACATCAGGCATAAGGAAATGTCAGGTTCACGCACATTTATATTATATACAAGTGCATGTGCATGTCTGCACATGTGTGGGTTATGAATGCCCATGCCACCAGGGTTGCCTTGTGAGGCTGGTACATGTGTTCTCAGCAAGTGATGTTCCCCTTCCCACATCCAGGCAAAGAGCCCAGTCACAAGTCAGAGCTGCCAGAATGACTTTTCAACTCGTTAACCACCTTAAGAAACAGTGAGAAGAGACTGAGGGCATGAGGGGACCACAAGCTCGAGGAAACCACTACAACCCTGGGGCTCCAGACAGGGTAGATTAAGGGGGTAAAGGCTTGTGGAGAAGGGGAGGGCTTAATTCAGGTCTCTAAAACCTTGAAGGGACAGGTGGGCAGTCACAGGCCTGCCTCCTCCTGGGGCTGATAGAGCAGAAGTGTAGGAAGAGGTGCTACAAGAGGAGAGACAGAGGCCAGCCGCAAAACGGCCTTCCCATCAATGCAGACGGGGTAGCTGGGACAAGACAGTGACTACAGGTCCTACAAGCTGGGCACTGGACTCCCTGGCTGCCTAACTGGAGGAAGGAATCCTGGATCTCTAGGCCCAGTGAACCCATTGGAGTCTCCCTCCCCCAGGTCTGGCCAGAAAGACTATCACTGTCTTCAGCATCGGCTGCAGCAGTGGGTGACTCACCCCTTGGCAATGGACCCGGATTCCTTACAGATGTTGAAATTCTCTGCCCAACCCCCAGGGGACCCGGTAAGGGAGAGAGCAAGGCACACACACACACATGCAGAAACACATATGTACACACACACCACAGGCAGTCACATGAAGCCCCAGTGCACATCCCTCTCACATCTGCACCTTGGTATTTCAGCTTCCTTCAGCTAGATTTGGGTTCTAGGAGTTCTATTTCTGCTCGACTGGGCGGCTGAGCTGCTGAGCCCAGAGGGCACCCAGCAGGGCAGGGCAAGTTGCCCGGTCAACTTCCTCTGGCTTTGGGCCCTGGAAAGCTGCACCCTCTGTCCCATCCAGCGTCTGGGCCTTGAGGCAGGCCCTTTATCCAGGATCCAGGGCCAGCCGGGGAGGAGAAGGAGCACGTGGGCCAGAGGATGGAATCCATACCATGAAAAGGACTGGAGAGGCCTGGGCCTCTTTCAGACTGCATCTCCTTCTGCAGGGAGAGCTTACCACCTGCAGCCCTACTGCACCAGCCCTACCAGCACTTGGCATGCAGGACAGGTTTATGTATTAGGGGTAGGGGTTGTTTTCTCACACACACAGACACAGGAATATGTACAGAAGCACATAGAGACTCTGAGATGCAAACAGAGAGGCTCAAAGACACACGAACTCGCAGGCACAAACACGCACACTCTAACTCGCCTTGCATAGGCTCAGGTGGGCAAACACCTCAGGCCGCCCTGAGCCCAGCCCCAGACTCTCCTATAAATGCCTGTATGACACAGGCACACAGTGATACATATGCATAGGCACCCCAGGGAGTCAGTCACAGGTTTATGGTACCCCGATCTTCATGTGTCATCTCACCTGTATCTGCCCCATGACTGCAGGTGACCCAGAGACTGAGCAGCCACAAGCCAGGAGTCCAAGATGCCCACATCCTTGTCCAGAGAAGACGGCCACAGCCGCAGCACCTGAAAACCATCAAAACCGGGAAGGTAGATTCCTGAGCTGACACAGCACAGTTCCACACACGGGCAAGCAGAAGCCAGCCCATGGGGCCCAGGCAGTGGTTCTGGGGTGGCAGGAGTTCTGGCCAGGCATCAGTCCCACTCACAGGCCCAACCACACGCCTTGGGTTAGGATTTGGGCTAGGGTGATATTCAAAATATTTAACCTCTAGTATGGCACAGAGGAGAATGCTGGCTGGGGCATTGAAGCAGGATCCAGGCGGCCTCTGACTGTGCCTGTGGGTAGTTATTGGACTGAGGAGAGATCAGAGGGCCCTGGAAAGCCAGGTCAATTGAGATAGAGAGGAGACTTGAGGCAGAGGCTATTTACCAAGACATTCGGAAGTATTTCAATATTTTACCAGCTAGTCTGGTGCCTGGTAGCTGCACCTAGCTCAGCCAGGCAGCCTGCCAGGCACCCACAAGGTCAGGGGCTAACGACTGGGCTGAGTCTCCTGGCAGGCATCACAGGGCTGTGTGTGGGCTAAGGAAGCTCCCCTCATCGGGATAGTGGGTGGGAGTGCAGGTCACCAGGCTCAGGACCTTGTTGCCAACCTCCCCTGCTGATGGATGCTCATCTTTTAGTTTTATTAAACCCTGATGGATGGGCCCAGATAAATCAATACAGGCTCAGCAAGCAGCCAGCAGAGCCATATATCATCCAGCCTCCCCTGGGATGGGCAGCTCAAATGCACACACACAGAGTCATGCATGTGTCAGCATGACATGCACAGATATACAGGCACATATATATACAGACTCATTCATGCCAGTGTGTGCATATAAACCTACCTGAACACAGTCATGCTCACAGAGAGACACTTGTTCACTGTTACACGCAGACAGCAGTGGGCACACACACACACACACGTGCACACAGCCAGCCTATGACTACCCCACTAGAAAGCCCTCCTGTCAGGAAGTTCTTACGCAAGTCTGACCTCATTCCCTCCAATTGTAATGGAATCATATTTCCCCTCCCTCAGTCCTCGACAGGGAATGAGTGTAGGAAGGACCCCCTCGCCTCAATATACTTGGCAGTAGGATACCCAATCCCTGTTCTCCTGGGGCAAAACTAGTCATCCCCCAATTCATTCCCCATCCTAGTGGTAGGTAAGCCCCATCTCTCAGACCCTCCCCTGGCCTCCCCGTCCTGCCTGTCAATGAAAGGGCTGCCAACTGTGGGAGGCATGTGCATGCATGTGGAGGAGTGAACACTGATGTGCTACATGTCCCCTTCCCGATCCTGGTCTCTGGCAGCCAGAGCAGGGGCCTACAGCGATGGAAGGAGAGAAGCTTCCAAAGCGATGATCCCAACCCAATACAAAGGCACAGATTTGAAGGCAGGGAGAGTCAGAACTGGGATGAAGGTTAGGGCTCATCCATTATAGAGAAGGAGACTGAGGTCCAGAGGGAATGCCACTTGCTCTAGGTCACACAGCAAGTCCGGGACAGAGGGGCTCTTCAGCCCAGAGCCCCAAGACCACCCGCTCCATCCTCACTTACCTTGGTTGGGGATCCCCAACCTCCCTGAGTAGTTCAGGCAGCCAAAGGCGGCCAGCCACAGGGAGCAGGACCCAGGTTCCTCAGGCCCACTAGGAAGCCCTTGGTCACTTCTGGCCAGCCGAGGGTCCCCAGCGTCCCAGGTCCTGAGCTCTGGGGGCTGATTGCTGCCCCGAGAGCGCGCCTGCCGGGTACTGCCGCCCACTCCGGCGGGGAAGAGGGGGCGGATCCAGGGGGCTGGGGACTTGCCAGAGCCGCTAATGGAACACAGCTGGACCCGCCCGCCAGGCAGGAGGAGGGAGAGAGGGCCGGAGGGGGCTGCAGAGGCGGCAGAGGCGGTGGGACACCCAGTCCCACTCGGGGCCTGGCGGGGCTCCCAGGCCCGCCCCTCCTACTTCCCCGCCAGGTGAGCTAAGCGAGCGCGGGAGGCAGGGCCCTGCGTGCCCAGAGCTGTCCTGAAAGGGGGCTCCAGCGACCGGCAGCTGCCGGTGTGTGAGGAGGGGGAGTCCGGCCCTTTAAGAGCCAGGCCTGGACCTTGAAAAGCCTCCCCGCGCCACCCCTTTTCCCCTCCCTGGCTGGGCCTCCAGAAGGCTGGGGTGGGGGGAATGGAGACCCTCCTCCCCAGGCCCCCTGCACCCGTGTCCTGGCTACTGCCCAAGCCTTCTTGGTCAGCTTTTTCCAGTTCCGCAGCCTAACATTCCCAGTTAGTCTACTCCTCTGGCTGAACTGGGGGCGAGGGCCCCCCTCCAGGAGGGTGGCTCTAAATTAACCCCTTCTGCTCTGGCCTCATTCCCAGGGGAGTGGAACGCAGCGGGTCCCCTCATTCTCCCTTACCCCGCGAGGCTAGAAGGGCTCAAATCCCTGTCCTTGCCTCTACTTTTGTGTCTTCAAACTTACTGTTTAACTATGACTCCATTTTCTCATCTGTACAATGGGATAATGATTACATATACCTCCCAGGGCTGTTGTGAGAAGGAAACGAGTTAAAGTCTGTAGAAGTGCTTCCCACAGGGTCTGGCACAAAACAGCCAAATAAATATTCACTGTTATTCTAATTGTGGACAGTGCGGGAGGGGTGAGGGAGTGAAGCTGGAATTCAAGCTTATTCTCCAGCAATGGAACAGGGTTGGTTGCTTTACAGTCAGGAAGGAAGCAAGAGGGATTGAGGTTGGATGAGAGAGAGGACTTTCAAGGAGAAAGGAACAGGTACTGTGTCCATTTCTGTCCAGAGGCAGGAGGATAATCAAGGTGACCCTCTCAAGGGCCTTCCCCAGAAGCAGCAAACAAATTTCTGGGTACCAAGGCTGAGCAACTGTGGAGGAGTAAGTTCAAGAGGCCCAGGAGTGGTAGGAATGGGTATGGGGGAAGGGGGAGCAACTGGAGTGCCTTAATGGGGGACTTCCTGTAGAAGCAACAAGCTGGCAAGCTGACGCCATAGCCCTGTGGCCCCTTCTAACCCTGGCAGGGGCAGGGCAGGCCTGAGATTTCCCGCCTTCAGAGCCAGAGGCCTGAGTCAGCGGAAACCCCAACCATGGCCACAGAGGCGCCCTACTGTGGTTCCTGCACAGAGCCAGCCAGATGTGGCTACCACAGTGGTGGGGCCTGGGAAGTGCTGAGCTCAGCAGGCAGGAAGTGGAAGCCCAGGGCTATCTGGGCGCTCTGGACTGAGGAGTGAGTAGGCACAGGCACAGTCTGCCCGTAAGGGTCTGCCCCATGGGAAATAACAGATAACTCATATAGGTCAGGCTCTGAGCTAAGAAATTCACGTGAGCGAACTCCTTTAATCCTCACAACCACCCTGGGAGGGAGAGCTCTATTCTCATTCCCATTTTACAGAAGGGAAACCTGGAACATGGAAACAACACAACTCAGCTTGCTCAAGATCACATGATCAGTGGATGGTGGGGCAGGGACCAATGCCCAGCTAGCCTGGACTCACAGCACAAGTTCTTAGCCACTATGCCATCGTGGGCCCCTCCTAACCTTTCCCCATTCATACCCCAGACTCTCCCAGGCAGAAGGGAATGGCTGGACTCAGAGCAGCCAGAGCTGGATGGACCTGAGAAGGGGGAGTCCAGATACCTTCCCACAGCCCCCTAGGGTTATCACAAGAACAGCCAAACCTGGGGTGCACCCTGTGCCTAGAAACACTATCAGACACAGTATAGAAATGTGCCTATGTCCCTTCCTCCCTCTGATGCATATGTGCACACATCCAGAAACATGCAATCAGATATGCTCTCAGCATGTGTGCATAGATTCCACATGCATGTGTAGGTACTTATGTACACACATGCACATGATACTTGTCCATATAAACAGGCACACAGACACACATGTGTGAGCACAGATGAACCCACAGAAGTATATCCCTGGACACACTCAAACTCATACTCAAACTCAAAAGATGCACAATTTTCAGAATGCATTCATATAGCACTGTAGGTACTTGGATATCCACACAGAGAGACATTAATGCACACAGAGACGTGTGTACATACAACAGAAACACAACGTGTCCACAATCACTCATCTGTTCAAGAAACCTGGAGACCTATGGCACATACACACATGCACATAGACACAACTGGCTCCCACAGAAAACCCCATGCAGTCAGGCACATACTGAGCGCACACACTTACATGCATGCAGTGACACTGGCACATTCACATGCATTCAGCCCCAGGAAGCCCTGCACACCAGCAAGCAGGGTACCCTGTGGGGCTGGGCCCAGTGCCCTCACCCCAAATGGCATCACCACAAGGTAATCAATGCTGTTAATCACCACCAGCTGCCCTAGAGCCTGCCTGCTGCTGCCAGGTGGGGCTACCAAGGCCTCCAAGTATGCCCAGATGCCAGCAGTACCCAAGGGCCCACCCTCCCCTCTGTCCCAGCTGGCCTTTGGGGAATTCCCATATGACAGAGGCAGCACCTGGGGCTGGGGCAACTGAAAAGCTAGGATAGGCCCAGGAGTCCCCACATAGCCGAGCAGAGGTGACCTGAACCCACACATGCACACAGGCACACCTGGGCCCTGGCATATGTGCACACATATGCACACGCAGGCATATCACACATGGCCAAAAGAGACCTCTTGGTTATTCTCCACAGGTATGCTTCTCCCCATCTTCCTTATACTGATGAACGTCACCATTCATTCAGACCTTCAGGCCAAAAATCTAGAAGTCATCCTTGGCAACTTCCTTCCCCCAACAGCCCATCCAGTCTTGTCAATTCTAGCCCCAAAACACAGCCCACACCCACCCACTTCTCCCCACCCCTGCACGGAGCCACCACCTTCTTTCGCCTGGATAATTGCAGAGCCTCCCTTCCTATCCAGCAAGACCTTTCCAAACCGTATCTGATGGTTTCACTCCTGCTGCATCTTCCAGATCTCATTTCACCTGGAATAAAACCCCAAATCCTTCCCTCTGTCTTACCAGGTCCTTCATGATATGACCTCTGCCTCCCCGTCCAGCTGCCTCACCCCAGAAGCTATGGCCCCATGGTTTTCTTTCTCAGTCTTGAATTCACCAAGTTGGTTTTTCCCTTGGGCTTTGGCCCCAACTCCTTCCTCTACCTGGAAGGATTTACCCCGATCTTCTCTAGGCTGGCTCTTGGACAGGTCTCACCTTCTAAGTCACCTCCTCAGGGTAGCCTCCCCTGACCACCAGATCTAGAGGAGCCCCAAGTCGCTCCAGATCACATGACTCTCTGTGACTCTCTGCACAGCTCTGGTGTTTGAGTGTGGGCTGCCCTTTTCTACTAAAAAGCAAGAGGTTTCATGAGGGGCCTTGTCCCCTGGTACTGAGCCTGGCACCCCACAGGCACCCACCAGCGAGTCAGTGGACAAATACGCACAAGCTCTGTCTGAGCTCCCAGACACAAGAGGTATGACACACATGCACACACGTGAATGTACATGTGTGCAAAAATGCACACACACACGTGCAGCTTCTGGGCACAGAGGAGAAACTGAGACCAGAGAACCAACATGTCTCTCCACTCCTCTGGCTTCTCACGTGTCTCTGGCCTAATGATTCCTCACTGTCTCTCTCTGACTCTGGCTGTCTCTCCCACTGCCTCTGTCCTCTTCTCTTTGTGCGTGTGTCGAATCTCTGGTTCCCCAGCTGTCCCCTCCTCCCCCTCGGGGACTTTAGCCCCTTCTCTAGTTCGCCTTGTCTCTGTTCTGAACTCTCCTGTTTCCCTCTATTTTTGGATCTGCTTCTCCAACTCCGAATCTCTTTCTCTTTGTGTCTGGTCTCTGTCTTCTTCTCACACTTCTGTATCTTTAAGGCCCTGTCCGTCTTTATCTCAAAGCTCCCCTGCTCTCTGCATCCCCTCACTCTGTCTCTGTCTCTGCCTGCCTGGTTCTGCCTATCTCTGTCTCTCTTTCTGGCTCTGTTTCTCTGACTCTCTGACTCGGCCCACTCTGTCTCTCATTCTCCCTCCCCTTCTCCTTGCCCTAAATCAGCCCTGCCACCACGTCTCCAAGGCTGTCCATGTCCCTGTGGCAGAGAGCCCCATCTTTCACCTCTGGTGGCAGCTTTAAAGTCCCAGTGGGTAGGCCTGTGCACCACATCCTCTGCAGGGCCACGGTGAGCTCCACCCTGACACGTGGCCCTGGCAACATTTAGGTGCCCAAGCAGGGTGTCTCACTTCAGTCATTCGAGGCTCCAGGCACCTGCTTGGTGTGACTGCCCTGGAATCTCTGCAGAGTTGAGCCAAGACTCTGACAGGTGCTGCGGTGGATGTGGCTGTGGCCAGGCAGGTGGACTCTGGGTAAGGAAGGGCGAACACTCTGGGCATCCCGGGCCCAGCTTGGTTGCCTCCTGGGCTCTGCCAACCTGTTCTGAGGTCACCCATGGAGAAGTGACAGGACCAGAGCCCTGGATTCCAGTCCTATCTCTACCTACTGTGTGACTCTAGACCCTAGCCTCCCCACCGTAGCTCGAGGTGACCTGGCGGTGCGTCAGAGCACCTAAGAAGCACCTTGCCTGATTTCTCTTCCTCAGCAGTTCTCAACCAGAGCGATTCTGCCTGCAGGGGACATTTGGCAATTTTTAGTTGTCACAACCTTGGGGGGCGGGGTGGCTACTGGCATCTGGGGGTAAAGGCCATGGATGCCACCACACTGTGCACAGGACCCCCCCACAACAAAGACTTATGGGGGCCAAAATGCCACCTGTGCCCAGCTGGAGAAACTCTGTTCTACCCCAAGAGGAAGATGCTGCCCCTCAGAATTCCCACACTCTCTGACCTCCTTTAAACACTGAGTCATATTCTGACCAGGGGTGGGGGCTGCCGGGGGACACCAGCGTCGGATCCTGGCTCTGCCTTTAATCACAGCAGCTAACATTTATTGAGCCCTGCTAAGGCGGTGGCCAGCACCACACATGGGAAACTCATTTTAGTCTCACAACATCCACAGGAGGCCCAGGCACCCTCTATACTCAGCATAGGAGGCAGACAGAGAGAAGTAACCAGTTCAGGGTCACAT